TTGTTGCTTTCCAATTTTGCCCTTGCTTAATTTTAAGGTTTTGGTGGTTTTAAAAAACATACCAAATAGCTTTGGAGAGGAAGGCACTGCATTGTCATCTTTATGTTTGAGCTACTATGCATACTTGGCAGGATTATTGTTCTTAAATGGAGTATAATGCATTAGGTAGCATTTACTGGCCTAATAAGATGTCTTGAAGCAATTGGCTCGTCTACATTTTCCAGTTTGCGTTGAAAGCACAGGAGTTGGACAAAAATGCATGCTTTTCTTGTAGCGAGCTTCTTTCCTTTGCTAAAATGCAGATATTGAGATCTGTGTGAATTTTAAAGCTGGTGTTCCTGGATTATTCTATAACTGACTTTACACATTTTGTGGCAAGATGGGTCACTGTGGCTCAATCATTATTTGGACCTGATATTGTTAATGAAAGCTACAAAGTGTTTTCTGGGAAACTGTAGCTGGAAACCTTTTATTTTTGTTTAGATTTACTGATAAAAGTTATTCATATATGGGAATATATAAAATAAACTACCAGCAGCTTCATTTATAGCAGTGATGGCCAAACTTGTCCTTCCAGCTGTTTTGGGACTACAATTCCCACCATCCCTGACCACTGGTCCTGTTAGCCAGGGATGATGGGAGTTGTAGTCCCAAAACAGCTGGAGGGCCAAGTTTGGTCATCACTGATTTATAGGGTTGTCATTTGATATTTGGGAAACAGATGCAACAAAGATTGGTCTTGTTTGGCATTAAGAGAATGAACTTCAGGCTTGTGTACCATCTTAGATTAAGCACCCACACCCCTGAATCTGGACAAACTATAGCTAATATTAACTTAAAGGAGCAGCAGTAATATTCAGCAAGAAAGGAAGATGCAGAGACAGTGGGAACAGTGAACAGTGTCCTAAATTTCCCCCCGCGCCGCTTCCCCCAAAGTGCTACTGAATTTTTGGTCCAGTTCAGAAGCTTGCTATGGTCCATTGCATTAAAGAGTTTCTATTAAAAGTGAGGTATTTTAGCCTCATCCTCAAATTTGAGCCATGCTCTATTAAGTACAACACCATTAATATACTGTACACAGATGTGTGTCATTACAAGTACCTATATCCTTGAAGGGGTACTTCTGTTGGGCTGAATGGCTGACTGGGTACTACTACTCCTGTTATCCTGGAGAAAGTGTGTATCATGACACTTTTTCTTAAGAGTGACTTCTCGGCTAATATTATAGTAAGAAGGTATGATAACACAAGCAGCATTCTGCCTAAGCAGATTATACTGTTAAATATTGGGGACTACAACAAAGCAAATTTAGGTTTTTATTTTATTTTCATGACAGAGGTGGATTTTGAGGGGGGTGATATGTGGAATCTTGAAGGGTTTCTGGGAGGAGTTCCAGGTGGAGAGTGCAGCAAGAGAGAACATAGGGAGCAAATCTATCTTCAGTTGTCTGATAGTGGGAAATTTATAGAAGTGAAAGTCACAGCAGGGATATAATAGGGTATGAGGTCAGAGATGAGCAAGGCTACCCTTAGAGGAAGACCTTTTAAGAAATGGACAAGGTGTTTATGCTGAAAGCAAACTGTCCCCTCTAGCCTAACTATGGTTCCCGCCTAGACTGTTGTGAGAAACCATGATCCCATCAGTGGTTTAGTTGAGATCCTGCTTTATGTGTTCCTACATCATGATTGGGGAACACTGGCTTGGAACCAGTAGGCAGCAGATCTGCAGGTGGCACTGTAGCCTAAACCACTGAGCCTCTTGAGCTTGCCGATCAGAAGGTCAGCAGTTTGAATCTGCACGATGGAGTGAGCTCCCGTTGCTGTGTCCCAGCTTCTGCCAATGTAGCAGTTCGAAAGTATACCAGTGTAAGTAGATAAATACTTGGGAAGGTAAATGGTGTTTCCATGTGCTCTGGCACTCCTCACATTCCTCTGTGCACCAGTAGCGATTTAGTCATGCTGGCCACATGACCCGGAAAGCTGTCTGTGGACAAATGCCTGGTTCCTCGGCCTAAAAAGTGAGATGAGCGCTGCACCCCATAGTCGCCTTTGACTGGACTTAACCGTCCGGGGTCCTTACTTTTACCTTACCTTAGATAGCAGATCTGCATATAGCTTTTATGTCCACTTGATGACTAAGTTTTGCCAGTGTAATAACATCATGTGGTGATATGGGAAGTATTGCAGACAGGCTGGCACCATAACGGCCTTGCTAAAGCTTCCTGTCCTCAGGAGTTTGTGATGTGTTAACAAGTGAGAGGGGTCAAACTTTTTTCGTTTTAAAGGATTGATTAAAATATGCCATGTCATTGCTGCTCATTCTTTACCTGTGTAATATTTTCCAAACCACTGCATCAAAACCACCTGGATTGAAATAATCCCCATTTCTTAATGCTCTAAAGGCATGTAGTTGTTAGTATGCCCTCATTAGTGTCTTGTTTTGCTGAAGGACCACACTGAGAAGGGATTTAAGTTTGAATGACCAAAGTTCCCATTTCCTCAGCTGGGCTGCTGGTTAAATTTTGTTTCCATAGCCATGACTCTGCCTTCATCCCTGTTCTGGTTGCCAAATTGCAGGGGGGGGGGGGGAGGGAGAAGTAGATTAGCTTTGCTGCTTCCAGTGGCTGATACAGGGCAGCCATTGCAGTGCCCTTCAAATGTTGTGGATTGCATTTTCTGTTGTTCCCAGCCAGGGTAGCCAGTTGTCAGAAATAAGGGAAGTAGTTCACAGCATATGGAGAGCACCATGTTGGTTACTTATGGAAGGCATGTGTTGGTTGCCCTTGCAACAAATAGAGAATGTGTTGACCTAAGTTTTAGGTATTATTTGCCTATTGCTTCTGAATTATAGTTGCAGGAAGATTGAGGGCAGGATTGGTGGGAGTGGACTGGAGACAGTCAGTTGAGAAGCTGCTTAAGGAAGGTATAGCTAATAGCTGAGGTTCTTTTGGAGTATGGCGGTAAGCACTATCTGAATAGAACTAGAAGAAATAATCAGATAATCAATCTTCAGGTGAATGTAGGAGAAACAAAGGTAAGGATGCTGACAAAGAGGATGAATTGGGCAATGTGCAGGGAGGCAAGTAGCAGCAAAGATGAAAAATAGGAACATGGCTTAGGCCAAGAGGAAGCAGCATAAGTGAACCAAGTAACCTTTTGCTCAGGAAGGGTATTATAGGCTGTCCTGGAGGTCAGCAAGGGTCAATAAGTTGCTTTGGAGGCATAGCCACACAAAGCAGCAATCCCTTGCTATACTTAGGCTGCCGTCCGAGCATAGCAGTGGAACCCACCGGCGGAAGCCTTTGTGTAGCTGGCAATCAATCCACATATATAACTGTTTATTGCATCATTGAAAATCAAGAATCCAAACTCTTCTGATGCTATACTAACTGCCTTGAAAGAGAGGTCTTGTACTATTTTATGTAATAGAAGGAAGAGTACAAACTCCAGTGCTCACAGGTACCATATTTTTTTATTGTAGCTCTACATGTTTTGGTGTGGAATGCTCCTTCTTCAGGAGCTATGATCAAAGATCACAGACAACACCAGTACAGTAGTTCTTCAAATGTGATGTACCAGCTTGAAAAAGTGGCAAAGCAAAAGACTATTTCTGATCATATCTGTACTGAACCTCTGCAATGTATCACAAAGCTAATCCTGCTACTATTTGTAAAAGACATTCCAGAACAGGTATACTAAAAGTATACTTTTTCTTGCACCTTGTTATAATTTGCCTAGCAGGATTTCCTGTAGCATTCTCAAGCACTTTGTCCTGTGAATGGAAATAATGAATAAACTGCAACCCTTCTATTGGACTACTACCATACTCTGAAAATGTTTGCCTCCCATTATGTGCTAAGAGCTAGTGACTGGCCTGCTTCATAAAGGGAAATCTGCAGGAGATAATTTCTTTAGCTTGTGACAGCTCAAATGTTCTTTTTAAAAATGTTCATTTACATCTTAATCATTTCATATTGGGGACATTAGAGAGTGCCATTATAATTTATGCAGTCTTTCCCCTCAGATGCATTGTGAAGGTTAAATGTAAAGCTTCCTGGCAGTCAGCTGGCAAGCGTGGGTATCTATATAATAGCTTCATGGGAATTGGCTTTCAGGAAATGTTTCCATTTGTTATTACATGTGAAGTATAATAGCAGTGTTCCCGATCTCCTGCATGTATCCTGAATACCTGCAGAGGGTAAGACCTTCTTGCTAAGTTTATTCTTTGGCGTGCTGTTTTTGTGGAGATGTGTATATTTAGCAAACAAGACAGTAATTTGTTTCTGAAACTTCAGCTATCTGCATGAGGATGAATCACATAAACATAAATAAGTAGTCTACAGTGAGATGTAAGGAAATAAAACTTCTTTAAGGGAATGGATGCATAAATAATCAGACTACAGCTGGTTTACTTTTGTCACCAGTACAGCATTTGAAAATTCTGTATTTGTGCGATGTTCTTTAAAAATGGTTTGGCCCATTTAAAACTGAACTGGGCATTTGCCTGAAATCTTAGACTTTGCACAGTGCAGAACGTTGATTGACAACAAACAAGTACTCTTGGATGAAGCAGATTACCATCTTGGTCCCAGTTTATTTAAAATTTATCTGAAGACATTGGGAGGGGTCATTTGGAGATTTGGGGTGAGGTGTCATCAGTATGCTGATGATGCCCAGCTCTGCTTCTCTGTAACACCTAAATCAGGAAAAGCTGTGCAAACCCTGGACTTGTTCTTGGACTTGGTGGTGGGCTGAATGAGGGCCAGTTTACTCTGAATCCAGGCAAGACGGAGACATGGTGGGTGGTTCCCAAGTTCTGATAATTGGACTTTGGATGGGGTCATGCTCCCTATGAAGAAGCAGGTACATGGTCTGGGAGTGTGCCTAGATTCATCTTTGTCACTAGAAGCCCAAGTGACCTCAAGTTTTCAAAAACAAACAAACAAACTTGCTGATTGAAAATATCCTATCAATAAACTATTTTTTGCTTTCATTTTGTAGTGCTGATGCCATGACCATTATTCAACCATTCTGAAGATGGATTACTGTTACTGATGGGAAGAAGTCCAATATGAGTGGAAATGATGTTGGAGGAAGAAGACGCTTTGAGGACAGCGAACACACACTACACATATACCCTGGGAACATTGCTGAAGGGACCATCTATTGTCCTGTTATTGCACGAAAAACTTCCACAGCTGCTGAGGTGATAGACTCTCTCATTAACAAACTTCAACTGGACAAAACAAAATGCTACGTTTTGGCAGAGGTGAAGGAGTTTGGTGGGGAAGAATGGATCCTCAACCCCACAGACTGCCCTGTCCAGCGCATGATGTTGTGGCCCCGAATGGCCCTAGAGAACCGTTTGAGTGGAGAGGACTATCGCTTTCTTCTAAGGGAAAAGAACCTAGATGGGTCAATACATTATGCCAGTCTCCAGTCCTGGTTGCAGGTGACAGAAGAGCGGCGCAGGATGATGGAACGTGGCTTCCTTCCTCAACCGCAGTACAAAGACTACGATGATTTATGTGCTTTGCCAGACTTGAATGAGAGAACTCTCCTAGAAAACCTTAGAAATCGTTTTAAACAGGAGAAAATTTACACATACGTTGGGAGCATACTAATAGTAATAAATCCATTCAAATTTCTCCCTATTTACAACCCTAAGTATGTCAAAATGTATGATAACCATCAGCTTGGAAAGCTGGAGCCCCACATTTATGCAGTAGCTGATGTAGCATATCATGCTATGCTTCAGCGTCGGAAGAACCAGTGTATAGTCATTTCTGGAGAAAGTGGGTCTGGGAAAACACAGAGCACAAATTTCTTGATTCATCACCTCACTGCTCTTAGCCAAAAAGGATTTGCTAGTGGAGTAGAACAAATAATTCTTGGAGCCGGACCAGTACTTGAGGTAAGATGAAAGTCTTGCTGCAGCTTATAATACAGCTTCCCACCCCATCATTCATAGTGTGTTATAAAGTATTTATGTCTTATGATTACCATTCTGTTCTGGAGCCTGGAGCCATTCACCCCCAACTGATAGCGATATGCAAGGCTCTTCTGCTTTTGTAACTTTTCTGTGAAGACATGTGGAAAACATTACCTTGGAATTTTAAATCCATATGGATTTTTTACACCAAAGAACTATGAACAGGATCTGGCAGTCATGCTTTATCCTACTCACAAATCTTTTCTGGAAAACCCTTATGGACTATGTTGTATTATAATGTCTTCCATGTATATTCGTCATATCTATTCATCATGTGTATTTGTCACTGAGAATCATGGCATTCCAAAACATAGTGTTGGAATTGACCGAGTTTGTGGTACGTGTCTTGAAAAATGAGACTTCTGAACTTAAATTTGTTAGAAATAACTTCTGGGCTTTTTTTCTCCTAATACCTTAGGCAATTAAATAAACTTAATTCTAAAAGGTCAGAAGTGAAGCACTGATATTACTGCAAATAGGTTTGCAGTTCCTGTTGTTAGTGTTTTAACAAAGGGAAAACTTAATAGTAGGAGGAGAGTGCGAGAAGTGGGCAATAATGCCACCACACGCTTATTCCTGGATCAGTTCAGAGTTGCTCCTTCTACTGCTTCCCTCCTCTTTGTAAAGAGGAATGAAAGGTTTTGTTTGTTTAAGAGATTGCTTACCCACCCTTCACCATCAGGCAGCTTACAATAATATAACCATACAGTATTAAAAGTCAGTAAAACAAACCAAAGAATTTGCATCAGACAACAGAGGTGGCCTCATAACAATCACACAAGTCTTGTCAAAGGCCCAGGTACAGAGGTGCATTTGAAAACCATATAATAAAGATATTTAACACACCTAAATGGGGAGGGAGTTCCACATTTTTGAGAGCTGCCACAGAGAGTTTTTAAAGTACTGTATAAATGTTTTAAATGAATATATTGCATGTTATGAATGCTGCAATCTGATTTGAGAACTCTAGTAAAAAAACAACCAGGACACAAATCTAGTAAGTAGCAAATCTTGCTTGCTCTGCTTCCAGACTTTGGGAAGGAGATGGGGTGGTGGTGGTTCTAGGTCTAGGACCTGGCAGAGCTTCATGCCTCCTTCCCAAAGCCCGGCTCCTTGTTTACCTGGCTTAAACCGGCACCACAAGGGCTGGGGGAGGACATCAGCAGTGTTCGAAATTAGACAGGCACATTTTGCATCTGACTATCAGCCACTTGCAACCAAGGGAAGATGCTTGGGTGCCATGATGGCACCTGGCATCTCCATCTGGTGGTGCATTGACTGTTTTAACACACTAATACCAGATCCTGTAGAATTCTAGCAGTTATATTTTATCTGCACAATCAGAATGAATTTCAGGAATCAAAATGTGCTTTCTGTGCAGCCTGAGCAGAAGCAGTGAACAACGTTATAGTTAATTGTTGTAGCTTGTCTTCACTTCCCCACCCCACTGCCTTGCTCACATTTGTGAAGAATGACACCATGACACCATTAAGAAAAAGAGGTAGGAATAGGCCAATATATATGTGGACTGTCCTTGGATAAAGTGATTTTTCTTCTTTAAGTTCTCAAAGTTCTTAACCTAACTCAAGGTTATCATCTGAACTAGCCAGATGTTTAACTGAGAATCACAATCAGTGTTCAAAACTGCCATTGTTCTAGGCACATTTTGCAACCGAGAATTTCATTAGGGCGAGCAGTTTCTGAAATCTGGGTGCAGTATTTCAGATTTAAACTGCAGAGTGGAAGGAAAGGAGGACCTTTTTCTGCCTCCCCACTTCTGGCTACCCTCTGAAAACTGGAGAAGAGACCCTTTTAAGAATATTAGGAAGATGGGCAGGGGAAGGACTAGACCATGTGAAAAATGAACCTAGTATTTTAGCTGCAGTTCATTCATTTTCAGCTTTGTATTCTTGTTATTAAAAAGTGCGCTTAGACATTCCATTGTTGTTCGCATAACCTAGGTTTAAGGTGCCATTCAGCTCCTAGCTTTCATGTCTCAGTTCCTAACACTGATTACAGTCAGTCCATAATTTGAAAAATAAGATTTTAGAGCCGTCTTGCCCAACTAGGCATTCTGTTTTGGCCACTGTAACTTTGGCTTAAGGATCCAGTGGCAAATGTTGATGTTGCACACGATGGCATATAGAACGTAAAACACGCTCTGAACTTTCCCTACATCGGGAATATATTTTAGTTTATTACTACTGGAAGTCAGTTAAGGTGCATTACACTGCAACAGTGATATTCACCAGGAAATTGCCAAGAGCTGCTTTGGATCTTGGAAATGTTTGGAAGTCTGAAGGTGTGATAGCTCAAAAAATGTATTTTTAAGCAAAATTCCTCTGACATCTGCTCTTCGTTATTTTCCTCCCTTATACTCAATCATAACTGAGAGTGAACCTCTCCTTTCTTCACTTCCACTCTCCCCTTCCCCCATTCATGTCAGCAATTTTCCTACCCAGCCCCAGTCATACTTGCCAAGTATTTTGTTGCTCTTACCCTCCTCTGTTTCTAGCCTGCTGTTTTGCCCCATGCCCATCCCCCCCCGTTGTGATCCTCCCTTAATCTGGGTCTCGTCTACTAATTTTCTTTATGCAATCCTGTTTCACGGCCCTCTTCCTCACATTTTAGAATGAAATTACTTTTGGTGGGACTTTCCCTTTCTGTCATCCAAGCTCCAGCTGTGCTGCTTCCTAGCCAGTTTGCTTGACAGTGCTCTGATTCAGCATCTCATGCTTTCCCATTTGTCTAGGGATTTAGGGAATTCTTTGTGCTATCAAAATAATATGAAAATGCAGTGTCTGGTAGGTAGCATCTGTTTCAGTCAGTTCCAGCTATTTATGGAGAAGCAATGGACTTTCTTCAATGCTCTTTTATATTTAGATTGATTAAACCAAGTGTCTAAAAGAAGAAAACACTCATTTATTCTTTGGTAAAACAATAAGCATTCAATAAGCAATCATTGTGACAACTGGCATTTGAAATCTGCCAAAGACAATAAACTCTTCTCTGAGAAGACTCATTCTTTCTCTACATGAATCAACTGGATTAACATATGAAATTCCCTGAGCTGTATACGTATAGTGACAAAGCTAATATTCATTCCACTAATTAAAGATACTCAGAATTTGTCAGAAACCTATTAACTACTCAAGAGCCAGTGGTGATCAACTGTGATTTGCGGTGTCTGATATTTTGAGGGCGATTTCATATGCCGTTTCTTCCTGTCCATGTTTTATGTGCATACATTTCTTTTCTGCTCAACAGCACCCGAGACAACATATACTATTAAAAATGACAACTAAATGACAACAGTGGTCATACTAATGCATGTGGGATGGGGAATGATTATTATACAACAATAACATCAGCAGTGAGCTAAACATAGAGTAAATTCAGCAGCAATTTATGCAGCCATAAGCACTAAGAGCAGCAAAGGAGGCATTCTAACTACAAGTATGATACTGTCTGCAATGTAGTATCTCCAACAGTCAGTCAAAGCCCTTTACTATAAGAATTTATTGTATTGGCATGTGGACAGAATGCTGTCAGAGAAGAGGCCAGATAGGTTTCCTTTGAAGATTTAAAAATGACAATTCATACATTTACAGTGACCAAAATGGTTATTTGCTCAAAATGGGAATACCATATTTTTCGCCCTATAGGACGCACTTTTTCCCCTCCAAAAATGAAGGGGAAATGTGTGTGCGTCCTATGGGGCGAATGCAGGCTTTCGCTGAAGCCTGGAGAGCGAGAGGGGTCGGTGCGCACCGACCCCTCTCACTCTCCAGGCTTCAGGAAGCTATCCCCCCAGCCCGGCAAGCTCCCAGAGCGATGCCTAAGCTGCGTGCAGCTTTGGCATCGCTCTGGCTCCCGTTCTGGGGGCTGGGGTCGGGGGAAGCTCGGGCTTCCCCGCCCCAGCCCCGCGCCTGGGGAAAAAAAAATAATTCCCCCCCTTTATCCCCCCCCCCAAATCTAGGTGCGTCCTATGGGCCGGTGCATCCTATCGGGCGAAAAATACAGTATTTCATGCCACTGTCTATTGGTTGCTGGTTAAAGGCTGGGAAGTAGCATATGGTGAAACTAACTTTGTTAGAAATAGGCAAACAAGGCAAACAAAGAAAAAATAAACCCATGCTCAGGAGCACCAAGTGGCCACTCAGCTTTATGTGGCTTCCTGTGACAGAGTTGATCTGACTCCAGTACAGAATGATACAGCTTGAGGAACTATAATTCAAATAGTGTCCCAAGTGTTTGTTCCTTGGTATAAGGCAAGTAGCGGGGGAGAGGGATCATGTGCCTCCTCCATGCCATTTCTTGGTATTCTCACTAGGATTTTCTATTGCTCAGACCAGTTGAGCATAAAGGTGCTTAGATGTGTCTAACTCTCTTCTCTCACTCCTTAATTCCTTCCTATTCCTTTAATCAAGTTTCTTTGATGTTCAGTCCATCTTCTCTCAGCTCTAATTAACAACAAAGAATATTATTATGAGCCAGCCTTGCAAGTACAAGGCATAACATACAGTGGTACCTCGGGTTACATATGCTTCAGCTTACCGACTCCGCTAACCCATAAATAGTACCTTGGGTTAAGAACTTTGCTTCAGGATGAGAACAGAAATTGTGCTCTGGCGACGCGGCAGCAGCAGAGGCCCCATTAGCTAAAGTGGTGCTTCAAGTTAAGAACAGTTTCAGGTTAAGAACGGACCTCCGGAACGAATTAAGTACTTAACCTGAGGTACCACTGTATACATGTGTAGATAAGAGAAAATGTGGAAAAAGAATAACCAATGTGCTTTAGTGCTATTGTATCATGAGTAAGATATTCTCTGACTTTCCATAAGATTTGAAACTTCAAATTATATTTGAAGTTCTAGCCAGTGTGCCTATCAAAAGTGATAACAACAAATGGATTAAAGCTGGGTCTGTTGACTACAGCTGTATTTGTGTTCTGGGGTTTCTTTTATGTTATCATTCCAAACTTTTAAGAGGATATATCTTTTATGTCAGGCATGTTGTCACTTGTCATCTTTTTACAGCGGAGTTGCATTTCTATATAGATTTCTAGGGGTGGAGAGAAGAGGTGCTTAGTAAACATCCATTTAATGAGCATGTTACTGTTGCCAAATTAAACTCTGTCTTGGTATTTTGGTTTTAGATATGCTGGGTTGGGTTTTAGCTTACATCTACCACATTCAACAAATAGAAGTTAATAAGAACTTTTTATATCCTATCCAACTGTAATCATGCTGCTAGGGTGGTTTTTAATCATTTAATAACATTTAATAATACTAAAGTAATAAAGAACCATACCACAAAATAATAATGGTATCAAACCTAAATGTTTGAGGACTGATCTATTTTCTCAACCCATGGGATGCCCTCGTGTTGCACCCTGTAATAATGTAGCATCTTTTGAGTGGAAAGTTCATAACAAGAAATCACCATTTTCCTACTGCAGTTAAGTACAGTACACAAATCTCTAGGTTATCAGATGTGCTGCCATCTACAAGATTTTTATATTATAATCTCATTTTGATGCTTTTAAAATATTGCTTGGGTTTCCATTCACTGCCAAATACATGCACCCATATAGAACTACACAGTCTTCTATTCATATGGCACATAATTGTGATAGAATCCGTTGGTGTGAGATCAGTTGCTATTGCTGTAAGAGTAGCCTTAGTAAAATTTGGGTTGGCATGCTTTCTGATTCTTGCCCGCATACTGTACAATATAGAGTTAGAGTTATTACAGTTAGCATTTTTACAGCTGCTGTCCTTGGTACCTCAATCTGAGGAGCTGGCATTGTTAGGCACTGAGTGACGCAAGGCATGCTTTTTGAAAAATTCAGACAATTATAAATCTATTGTAGTATTGTAGCCCCTGGTCTGCTGGGATGCCAACTGGCAATGGAAGCATCCTGATCAAATAACAGGGCATCTTGCTAAAGGGAGGTCATGGAAACAAAAGTTTTAAACTAATTTGTTGCATAGGTAGTATTTGATTTCCAGTTTCATTAGGAATAGCCACTAGGATATTTGAAGATACATGACTGAGTATTGTTCCTAACATTCAGTAGCTTATGTGGATGAATTTTGACTTATGGCTTATATACGAGAAAACAGACTCAAACAGTGGTGATGACTGCCTTCCGGAATGCCCCCCCCCCCAATTATCTGAGAGCTGCTGACTGTTGAGTGCTTCCCTTGTTTTTCATCTAGGCTTTCCCTGTACTGTACCTTTCTGCTGTGTTATCTATGATGTTGGTTTCTGTTTTAAATTGTTTTGGTATTTATTTTACCTTTACTAGTTTGAGTTCATTTAATGTAAGCTGTTTAGAGATATTATTAAATAAATGAACTTCAAATAATCTACAACCAACGTTTTAGTCTGGTATGTAAATCCAGTCACAAACCTTGGCAATTTGCAGACATGGATTTAACAAACTTAAAAACCAGTTGTTCATTAGCTTGCTATAACAGTAAAATCCTCTTTGCACTGTGTTTCACCCTGTACAATTCAAAACCAGATGCGTACTGGAATCTTTATGGACAACCAGTAAGCATGCTAGTAAGGCAAAATGCTGAATTCTGGAAAAGTGAATATTTTACTCTTTAAATTTCAATAAATAACTGACAAAATGATAAAACTCTGTGGGTGGCAGTAATTTTATTCCTATGCAATATTGAACTGAAGGGTGAATTACATAGAACTGTAGACTCAGATTAAATGATTCTCCCACAGCCTACTGTTTCAAGCACTGATTTTGTTTTGGGCAGATGTACTTATGAGTGCAATTTAAGTTATTAGAATAAAAATGTATGTGCTGCCTTTCTACCAAAGAATGAAAGTTTAAAATTAGTATTGAATTATATTATTATTATTTTTAATTCCTCCCCTCTAATTTCATACTGGAAGCCACATATTAAAAGCAAGTCTAGGATGTGCAAATTGTTGAGCCATTTCTCAGTTCTTTTATATCTCTTTATTTCGGCAGGCATTTGGGAATGCAAAGACAGCACACAATAACAACTCAAGTCGCTTTGGCAAGTTTATCCAAGTGAATTATCAGGAGACTGGCACTGTCCGAGGGTAAGTAGCAATGAGCAGTGACTTAAGGAACTTTAAGCATGAATGGGTTGCAGCTGTTGGTATTTGTGGATGCCTGATGGGAATGTTAAACATCCCATGTAAATCTGATCCCAGTTACTTGTCTGTGCCATATAGGACAAATAATTGACTTGACACAGGTATATTCTGTTAAGGAAGCTTTAACTTCCCACATTCTTTTAACTATAACACTGTTACTGTATAATCACAAGGGAGTTACAAATGCTAAATCTCTAAAACTTGAATTCGCTTTATTTACTGATATAAGAAATTGCCGAACAAAGTCCGTTGTCCACTTAGGAATCGGCACAAATCTTTGTCTGAACTTCAGAGGGATTTGGCTCAGGCTTGGAGTGCATATATCGTCCACAACTGGTGCAAATATTTTGCTAAGTCAGCTTGAATTTTATGAAAGCAAAAGGAGCACCAATTTAAGAGATTTGCACTTAAACCAGAGACCAAATTGCTCTGGATTGTTTCCATTCTTGCTTTTAATAAACAATTTGAATCCAGTCTATTAATGTGAGAATTGAAAGTCTGTTCTAAGCTACAGCTGTTGTACTTTATATTTTAATGTCTTATGTCCTTTGTTTGCCTGACTTGGAGCTCTATCAATCTGTAAAGTCTGAGAATTGTTGAAGCTAGAGAAGGCTTCCGTAGCAGCCCGACGCATCCTATTATTTTGGGACTGTAGATTTTCAGTTTCTGAATGGCTTTGTCCAGTCTGATGTATGTGCTGCAGTTGAGCTATTTGGAATCTTTTAGTTCCGTTTAATTAAGCTCTGCTTTCTTGACTAAGGCTATAAAAGGAAGGGCAGAGTTTCCTCTTGTCTCAGTTCTTCCTTGTTTCAAGTGTGGTGTTGCTTTCCTAGTCAGTGATTGCCCAGTAAAGAGTCATGCTATCAGCTTTTATAATGTATGCTAGTCTGTGATATTTTTCTTATTTGACTGAGTAGGAAGGAATTTTAAAAGGGGCAAGATGTAAATATCCTATTTTGATGGATACACACTGTGTTAGGGAGAGTCAACTGTTCTGCTATCACATCAAGCACTATGAAATGTGTATAGTTAGGACCCCCAGCTTGTATTTGTTGAGATGTGAAGATGACTCTGTAGATGCTTATCTTCAGTACCATGAGAAGTTGTAATGCCGTAATTTTGACTCTTAAGGAAGTTATGAGTACCAGACCTTTTTCTTTGGTTCACAATATATTTATTGAGTTTTGCTCAATAAATAATATATTTATTGAGTTGACAAAGAAAAGCTTTTCACTGGGCTTGGGGTTTATTTAGTGTTTTTTTGAAGGGTGCTTGTATTCAAGAAACTTGTGCTTCTACCAATCCTTCTGCAAAGCACATATTTGACTCCCTCATGTTTGTTAGTCATACTAAGCAATCATGAGTATTACTTTACATATTTCCCGTTGGGTAATAAAACTACTGTTCATGAGCAACTGTTGTCAAGCAAAGAAAAGGGAAATGAATCCAAATTTTGTCATCATCCATTAAGTAACAGCACACATGTGAGTGATCAACATGTTAATTCTAGTGAGTGCCAACAATCAAGTTAAGTCAGGATCTAGCTTAGTTTTGAAAGTTCCCTTACTTTTCTCATCTCGTTTTTCACTATGAATTTCAAAAGAATAGGCTTATCACAATTTAGGCCTTGTTTTCCAACATCTTCTGAATATATCAAAATGCCTGCTTCACAAAAATTGGATTACCTTATACAATTAAGATATTATCTCCAGTGTTAATGCAGTAACATTGATATATAGACACAGAAATATTACTGCAGAGGCTGCAAAGGTGTTTTTGTGTGTGTGTACAGGTTTAATCTAATACACCATCTCTCTGGTGAGAAGGTTGATTTTTGTTTTAATGGTCTGAGCAGAACAGAGATGGAACAGTGGAAATTAGCAGTATAATATGAGCTTGTAGAAGACTCTATCTGGAAATATTCTTTCCAGTTATGTGATTGTGATAAGGGAGGTGAGATAGTGTTCTGCAACAATCTAGGTTGGAGACTAGTTTCTTTACTTTGTTATTTCTGAAAGATATATTTAAAAAGACCAAGTATTTTATCACTTGGTCCCACAAATGATCTTCAGAGCACGCATTCCTGCAACCATTTGCCCTCGTTTCTTCAACATAACACAAAAAAGAGCTTTGCTTCTTGCAAATTGCTTCTGCTATCATGGTAGAAAGGAGTGCTATATTCCAGTGATCACTGCAGGCCAGTACTGTGAGGTTTTATCTGTTGCTACATGCGTAGTTGACAATATAGTAGCATTCCTTTTCTAAAAATTGATTGTTATGTAGCCATGATGGTACCATCCATGCAGAAGAGGGTGGTATTATCAGTTTTGAAGAAATCCTAAGGTTTACAGAAGTACAGAAAAATGGAGATAAAAACTAAAGGGAAGGGCAAAAACAGCCCAGTTGAGGACTGAGCATGCTGAATTTTGTGTGTGAGAGGTGTTATTATAGGTGGGAGGGGTAATGGGTAACATTGGGAAATAGCGTAACTGACTGGGATTTGAACAGGAGCATTTCATACTGTGTTTTTGGAATGCATTCTCCAGTCTATGGGTCTGTTCAGCAGAGTTCATGGAGATTCCGTATTATAGATACAAAACCTTTCCATTGTACTTGATGTTTCCCCCTCATGGTGTGGGGAGCAGGAAAAGGAGCAGGAGGAAAGGCCTCACCCACAGTAGAATCCTGTAATAGAAGTCATGCTGAAAATCATGCTCAAGTTTATACTGTATTTCATTTTCCACATCCTCACCAGCTCATCTCCCTGCCCTTTGCACAAAGATTCAATTTAGGCTTTGAATACCATTATTTCAAAGAAAAGTGAAAAGATTTTGGGCTACCATAGTTCAGGAAAAAAAGTTAAGTAAGGGAAGGACATACGAAATGTAGATAAATTTGAATGGTTTGGAAAAAATGGAGACAGTTTCCTGCCACATACATTCAACACAACATGCAAATAAATTTATGAAATCTGTTAATGCAGGATATTCTCGCTCTTTGTTTTATTACCTTACTCTAGTGCTTGTAAGTTCTTTTTCTGAAGAAGGAATGTGGAGCTGCAGCTTAACTGCTCCAGAAAGTTCATAGACATTCAGCTAGGAAGGTTTGGTTTAGAATGAAAAAAGAAAAATTTAGAATCCATTTTTCTAGAGGTTTTAGTGTGTGGTGATATCTAAATGTACCTATGACATTTTTCTTCCATGTTCAGGCTTTTCTAGCAAATAGTAATATTCAGATGATTATATCCTCATCAGTCTATGCAATGACCAGACCCGTTACATTTTAAAAAGAGAAAGGTATAAAAATCAAACTATTCTCAGGCTTAACTAATATTCTTGTTTCCTCTAGAGCTTATGTTGAAAAATATCTACTTGAAAAGTCAAGGCTTGTCTATCAGGAACATAATGAGAGGTGAGTAATGAATTTAAAGTACTGCTGGGAAGGGGGCGGGGATAAAGAAAGGTAAACCAAAATAATGATTAAAATAAAGTACAATTATAATGATTTCTAAGTTTTATATGCATTTATTTTGTGTTTTGATATATATGATGTTAGATTAATCTGTCATGATTAATACTGACAGCAGTTCATGCCCTGGGTTTGAGAATTTGCTCATACAACACTATTCCTGTCTTGAAACTCAGGCTTAGAGGAAGGAAAAGGACAAGAGCAGCTATGAACTCATACATTGGTGCAATCCCATTAAGCCATACTTTGGATTGCTATGCCATGCAAACCAAGCAGTAAATTACCAATGGTTAGTTTTTCATCAGCTGAGCTTCCAGTTGTAGACTTCTAGAGAGGAGATAGTGGTCTCTTTGGTTCTCAGTGCATTTTGCTGCTATGCTGAACTAAGACATGGTTGAACCTAGGCTTGTGATTTAGCACGCTCTAGACAAAGCATGAGCTGTAAGAAAGATTTGCCCTATGTTTTATAACTCATGGTTTATTTGGGGAGAGCTAGATGAAATGTGAAGCCAAACCATGTTCTTGCTTATCCATCATTTGATTTAGCAGTACATGCAAACTGGATGTCTGTGTATTTGATTTGTCAAAAATAAATAGATAAAATACTAGTATTATTCATACTTCCAATGATTCTTGCTAACATTTTTGTATTGATGGTGATGGGACTTTTAACACCGTTTTTATTTGTTGCCAGGAACTACCATGTATTTTATTACCTTCTGGCAGGAGCAAGTGAAGAAGAGAAATCAGCATTTCATCTTAAACAGCCTGATGAATATCATTATCTTAATCAGGTGGGAATATACCAAGCAGTTTTTAACTGAATGTATATATTTGTCCCTAGAGCAATGAACCACTGTTCATGTGCTGATGTTTTAAAACTAATTTTATTGTTACCTGTCCTAGCACAATAAATTTGTAGGTTTGGGGAATGCAACTAAGTAAGAAACAATGTTTTCAAAGCACTTTTTTCTTGCCTTAAGTGGCCTATAGAAAATGGCCTATAATGTGTTTTTTGGATTGCAGTTTTCCTAAAGAACATGAATGATTTTCTAATTAATAAACAACTAATAACATTCATCTGGAAAACCATATTATGATATTTCTACTGAAGAAGAGACAAATCCATTTACAAATGTTGCATGATTTTTGCCATCCTTCCTGATAGCATGATCTGTTTGTACTTTAACAAATAAGGCTAACCCAAGTCCATTAATTCCAACTATGGTTAAAGAATTGAAATTATTGGGGAGGGGTACTACATCTCATACTAATATGCCATAGCACTTATATAATTTGTTTCCTTTAGGATGCAAGGGTAGCTGATGCAATAGAACAGAGATGTCAGAAGGGAAGAATAGTTCTGGTGATAGCAGGATACTCTCTGCCAGTGCTCCATTAGAATTTCCCAATACAGTGTTTAAGGCTGAATCCTAAATATAAGGCTGAAAATATATAGTGTTCATATAATTGCAAAACAACATGGATCTTCAAGCTTGAGATCATGTGGGATCATTGCAAAAGGTTTCTCTTCAAGGGTTTAGCTATTTAAAAGGGAAAAAAATATTATTCTGACTGAGGAGCGAGGACATATCCCTCTTTATATAGCAGAAGCTGGATTATTACTTCATTTTTTATGTATAGCTAGTTATAAAACATCAAGCAACATTTCACACAAGCTTGCTGTAGATTTCTTTTAGGATTTGGTTAATCATTAAAATAATATATCTGTTACTGTGGTTAACATATAATTTTTATTTATGTGGCAAAATGTTCCAGGTTCTGCCTTCATAAGCAGTTCTGATAAAAATGAAAATATAGTGTAGCAGTTCTAGCGCTTTGAAGACTGAATGTTCAGAAGGGCTTCCTTTCCTGAAGCTAAGTAATGTAGGTACTATCTTCCAGGTTGAGGAAATGTCTCGTTAATATGCCCAGTGTGTAACATCCTATAATGATAACAAGGAGGGAGAACCTCTGGATGTACACACTGAGCACATTAACATTGCATGACCTCAGTCTGGAGGATAGTACTAACAACACTTGAGCAAATGAAGCCCTTTTGAACATTCCATCCTCAAAAAGCTAGAACTGCCACCTTGGAAATAGCATATTTTCATCAAAACAGCTGATAAAAATGGAAGCCAAAATATTTTGCTACACAAGTAAAATCTGTTTTGTTAATCACAGTAGTGTGTGTGTGTGTGGTGTAGTGTATTGGGGGTTACTATGGTATGTTTGCAAAAACCCTTAAATATTACAGATGCTTCTTGATAAAAAACTGAGTCTGAGCAATCATGATAGATTTATGTGGAAGAAAAATCTTCCAGCTCACATGCTTGTTGTAGGAAATAAATGCAATGTATACGACGTAGCACTCTTAGTGTTGTAAAAATTCTAAAGCATCTTAAATTGTACTCCTTTCTCCTTCTAAATTGTCACTTTGTGACAATATTCCCAGTTGCAATATGACTCAATTGTTAGATCCAAACTCAATGAGCATAGCTGCAGTGTTTGGCAGCCAATAGAAGTGGATTTCTAAGTTTAATTGTAAGGTTAGATAGGCTTCTTTTGTAACATGAAAACGTAGCATGATGTATGTGCATTCTCATATCAGATTTCATAAGGTAAGGAGAAATGGAGAAGGCGGATCCTAGCCATCATTTTCTAAAATGGGAATGCTTGTAGCTTAATGGTTTTAAATAAATGCTTAACTTCCTGTCTGTAAAAGTGGGAAGAGATAGTGGCATGGGATTTGGAATGCTACTTACCCAATCTGCCTTACTTTCAGATGACAAAGAAACCCCCCAAACAGAGCTGGGATGACTGTTACTATGAGTCTGAGCCGGTCAGTACAAGTACATCCATCCATTCTGGGTTACTGGTGACAGACATTTCACTCACTCTGGCTTTGCACCAAATTGTAGGGCAAATACAAAACCATTTCCATTTGATTACTGGCAACACAATTTCTGTGTCCTCATTGGTTTGGTAGATTATTTGTGGTGGTATACTAATTTTTTATGTGTATAATTTTTGTATAGGGTTATTTTGATAGGTTTTGTTAAGTAGTTGGATGATGTTATTATGTATATGAGACACTGCAAAAAAGCATAATATATAGATGATAAAATTATATTCTACGAGCAAGAGAGAGAGAAGAGAGAGTATGCAATGAAGCTTTTGCCTGGATTAAACTATTCAGGATAATTTTTGATATAGCATATTCTGGGTTTTTTAAAGCATAAATATAGTGAATATTAATTCATTAAACTAGTGTAATCTTTTCTGTTTTCATGGTCTACACCAGATTATTCTGTGGGCAATTACAGATTTTTTTTATCAAGCAATTTAGTTAAAGGTTCAGTCATCTGAAACGAAGAGGTTTACTGCCATGTTTGTTTACAATGGCCAAAAAAGTGAAAGGGTCTTCCCACTCTTGTGTGAACTCAGATTATTGTATTTAAATTGCGGGTTTTGTCTGTCTTGATATCACTCCATGTTAATCTTACCTCAGAGAGCATGGCTGTTCTAATTGCATGGTTAACAATTCTAACTTGGATTTACAATTTCCCCCTTAATATCATTCAGGCAAATTTATTCTTGAGTGTTATGTTTGATTGTAAGAAGGTTCACAAACGAAATTTAGGCATTTTAAATTTACTTAATTTCTATTAGTTTTATTGGTTTATTCTTCCCCCTCAGAAAAAAAGCTGTAAGTACAAAGTGGTTCAATAATGTAGCAAAAATCTTGAATATTTATTTCATGTGAATGTTTATTTCCTGTCTCTTTATTTATTTTGATGATTTATGTACTGCTTAATTTACAGACATCTCTAAGCAGCGTAGATGACCAATGATTTAGATTTGTCTAGTCAACAGATTTATTGCAGAAAACATAGTTTGAATATTCTCCTATAGCTTGCCTGAAGCGATTATGAACACATTGGTAATAGCTTACTTAAGCAGAGTGATGTGGGATACTTGCCCATCTTGAGCAGCTGAACTTTACTTTTTGGTATGGCAGACTAGACTGAAATTTTCAGACTCTGATAAATTAAAGTGGCTACACTTCAGAGGTTAATACTGTGTTAGTAAATGCTGCTATTACTGCTAATCCACTCTCCAATATGTTGATGCTATTCTGCTAATATTTAATTTGCTGTTTCCACATGCCTACAAGCTGTCCCTAGATAGATTTCCACTTGCCCCCTTTTCCTATCTGTACCCTACTGTCCCAGCCATTCCTGGTTAGGACTCCCACTTCCTAATACACTTCTATATCCTCTCACATATTCAAAGAGCTTCCTTCTGGCACCCAGTGAACTGGGTCCTATTTTTCACCTGTTCCCTAAGCAATCAACTCTGACATGTGTTCTTGTCACATAGAGAGGGATCTCAATCACTTTTGAGCTGCTTGCTGCTCTCTTGTAGACCTAGTGGGGGTCTGCAGAATTGCTGAGACCATAAAAACAATAACTTATGCCATATTTGGAAAATAATATTGAGGGATTAAATTCTATATTTGGGAATAATAATTGTTCAAAGAGGGAGTGAAAATGAACTCTTGTTCTGGAAGCAGAACAAAATGTTTGGGTATTTGTGAACAGATGGAAGATTTTTCCTGCAGATTTGTCAAGTAATTTTATAGAACTCAAAAATCAATTTATTCATCTTTACACAAATATAATCCATGAGTGCAGACAGCAGGCAGTTTTGGCTTTCTATTTTAAAATGTAGATCATGCTCTCTGTAGAGTGGAACTTGATTATTTTGCAGTAATGGAGGGCCTAGGCTACATTTACTGTCCAAAGAACGAGGTCATTTTTTAATTCAGGAGAAGGTGCCTTTGGTAGTGGGGAGTGATGCAGGCAGCTTTTTCTCCACTGTCTTTTGCATAGTGTTTTCATGGGTGGGTCCTTCCTTTCCTTCTTGATGCCCATCTCTTCTAATAATTGCTCCTCATATTTGGCCTCAATAGGATTGCTTCTCTGTTGAAGGGGAAGATCTGAAGCATGACTTTGAGCGTTTGCAGCTAGCTATGGAGATGGTGGGCTTCCTTCCCAAGACTCGCAAGCAGTAAGTTGATGTTCCTTATAACAGTGCATTATTAAATCGTGGACTGGTGTTGTGAATGCTGCAGCATGTGTATTTGATTGATGCTCAGCCAACACTTTCTGAAGTTTTTACATGATTGAATGAGTTGCAGTCATAATACTGTGCATCTGTCAGGGCTTTTAGGAGCAGAAAGCCATTGAAGTCAGCCAGTGCCATTACTGTTTTAAAAATGTTAGTGTGGATAAGCTCCAACAGAACTCTGTATGAATTACTATTGCTTTGGTTATAAACAACTTTATTTTTGTAGCCTGCTTGGGATCTCTGGGCTTGAGTAGGCTAAAAATCCCAAACACAGACCCCAATACATATTATATAGCTATACTTAGATTGCTTGATAATTAGTTAATTGTACATGTCACTAAATCAGTAGGTTGCTAAATGACCACCGAAACATTCAGAACTGATTTGCTTAATAACATTTTGTTTGTTTTCGTATCATTTGTCCCTTTATTTTTTAAATATTTATGCCTCATAGCCAGACACTGGAGAGGCCTGTCAGGAGTAAACATGGACCAATGGTATCGAATTGTATGGGAATTGGCTTTACTAGAAAAGCCAACCAATAAACTGAAACTGACACGGGGACAAATAGAAGAGGACACCTTCACTCCAGTATGGCTCCCCTTTATCACATACACAGCCCAACAAGACAACAACAAGAATCCACCAGCAGCATACAAATCAATCTGGCTTACCTGACCCAACAAGCCTTCCCCCCCTCACAAATGCAAACAAGCCCCACTGCAGCCAACCACAGACAATCAACCACAGCCTGACCCCCAATACCTCTCACTACCAAGGAAATGTAATAAACAAATAGAAAGAGAACATACCTAGTTGACACTGACACAAAACCCCTCACGTACACTATACAAAATAATATAAGTTTCACCCCCCCCACTCTTCTTCCCCAACCTTATACTGTACTCAACTTTAATGTCTCACAACAAATGCAACTTATTCTTAAGAAAGACTGTACAGTGGTACCTCTGGTTACAAACCTAATTTGTTCCGGGGGTCTGTTCTTAAGCCGAAACCGTTCTTAACCTGAGGTGTGCTTTCGCTAATGGGGCCTCCTGCTGCCGCCGTGCCACTGGCACGCAATTTCTTTTCTCATCCTGGGGCAAAGTTCTTAACCCGAGGTACTACTTCCGGGTTAGCGGAGTCTGTAACCCAAAGTGTTTGTAACCTGAGGTACCACTGTATAACCTGAAAAAAGAGACCAGACCTGTACTTTTGTAAATCAAGAATATCTTATACAGTGGTACCTTGGGTTACAGACGCTTCAGGTTACAGACTCTGCTAACTCAGAAATAGTACCTCAGGTTAAGAACTTTGCTTCAGGATGAGGACAGAAATCCAGCGGCAGCGGGAGGCCCCATTAGCTAAAGTGGTACCTCAGGTTAAGAGCATTTTCAGGTTAAGAATGGACCTCCAGAACAGATTAAGTTCTTAACCCGAGGTACCACTGCATATCAGCTTGTCCATTTATAAGTAATCTTAATATAATATCTAACAGATCCTAGTAAAACAGGAAAAGCTGTGGCATTGTATTATTAGGTGTAGTACTGAATATATTTGCCTAACAGCGATAAATGCAACACCTTATATCTGTCAATATGCCAGAATATTGAAATACTGTTTAATAAAGTCTGGCATACAAAGTCACAGAGCCCAATATGTAGTGAAATGTTGGTAACATTTCATTTTGTGAAGAAAAAGAAAGAGAAAATGTGTTGTTTTATGCCCATAGGATTTTTTCCATTTTGTCTGCAATACTGCACTTGGGTAATATCTGTTACAAGAAGAAAACCTACCGAGATGATTCCATAGATATCTGTAATCCCGAAGTCCTTCCTATTGTCTCAGAGCTGCTAGAGGTAAGCCATGAAACTTTGACATGATTGACCCAGTTCTTCCCTTTCTTTCAACTTGGGTATTTTTGGAGGTGGGGCTGGGGAGAAACTCAGCCTCTTAAAAATATATTATTGATAGTGAAACTATTTGTTTTGGTAGTTTGGTTCATTGGTCTTCAACTGGTGGGTCAGGACCCACTGCCAGGTCGCAGCCTGATCTAAGGTGGGTTGCAATAGCAACACTATCATCAGCACCATCCAGCTATATGAAAAGAGAGTTCCATTGCCATGTTGCTACTGCCGCACTCTGATGACCTTGTCTCTAGTTACCAGCCTCTTATCTGAGGGGTGGGAACAAGGCAGGGTTCTGGAGTGGATTTGAGTTTCTAAGATGTATATTTTAAACCACACTTCATGGTGGGAGAAAGTAGGTGCTTATAACACAGTGTTTCCCAACCTTTTTTGGGCAAAGGCACACTTGTTTCATGAAAAAAATCTCGAGGCACACCACCATTAGAAAATGGTTAAAAAATTTAACTCTGTGCCTATATTGACTATATAAAAAGTACAGTGGTGCCTCGCAAGACGAAATTAATTCGTTCTGCAAGTCTCTTCGTCTTGCGAGTTTTTCGTCTTGCGATGCACGGTTTCCCATAGGAATGCATTGAAAATCAATTAATGCGTTCCTAGGGAAACCGCCTTCAGACCAGGTCCGGGGACAGTCTGTCCCCCGACCTCTTCTGAAGGCTGGGGGGGGGGACAAGGGCTTTTCTTCCCACTGCCAGCCTTCAGAAGGCTGTTCTGAAGGCTGGCGGTGGGAAGAAAAGCCCTTCTTCCCACCTCCCGCCCCGCAAGCTCCGGGGACAGGAGGGCTTTGCTGCTGACCGCCAGCATTTTAAAAGCCCCTGCTGTCCCGGGCGATTTTAAAATGCTGGCGGGTGGGAGCGAAGTCTCCGCTGCCCCGAGGAGATTTTAAAATGCTGGGGGTCGGCAGCGAACGCTTCGCTCCCGCCCGCCAGCATTTTAAGATCGCCCGGGGCAGCGGAGAAGTCTCCGCTGTCCCGGAAAGGCAGGCGGGGGGAGCAAAGACTTTTGCCCCCGCCTGCCTTCAGAAGAGGTCCAGGACCTCGTTCCGATGCCCGGCGGCGGGGTGCGAGGTTCCCGCCCCACCGCCCGGCATCGGGGCATCGTTCCGATGCCCGGCGGCGGGGTGCAAGGTTCCCGCCCCACCGCCCCGCTTCGGAGCAGCGCTCCGAAGCGGGGCGGCTGGGGCAGGTGTTCCCGCCCCCCCGCCCCGCTTCGGAGCAGCGTTCCGAAGCGGGGCGGCTGGGGCAGGTGTTCCCGCCCCCCCGCCCCGCTTCGGAGCAGCGTTCCGAAGCGGGGCGGCTGGGGCAGGTGTTCCCGCCCCCCGCCCCGCTTCGGAGCACCGGGAGAAGCGATCTCCCCGCAGCCCCTTGCTTCAAAAGAGGTCCGGGGGCAGCGGGGAAGAAGCGCTGCGCTTCCCGCTGCCCCTGGACCTCTTTTGAAGCAAGGGGCTGCGGGGAGATCGCTTCTCCCCGCAAACCCTTGCTTCAAAAGAGGTCCGGGGCAGCGCGAAGCGCTTCCCGCTGTCCCCGGACCTCTTTTGAAGCAAGGGGCGGTGGGGAGAAGCAATCTCGGGCGCCGCGGCGCGCAGGCGCACTGCTCGCTCCTCTTTCCGCGCAGGCGCCTTCTCTCGCTCTTTCGCCTCCTTTTCTTTCTCTCTCGATGGTCCGCCTACAAAGGAGCGAGGGAGGCGCCCGCCATGTTTGGATTTGCATCCAGCAGGAGATGCCGCCGCCGCCCCGCCTCTCCCGCCTCCCTCCCACGGCACACCAGGCAAGGTCTCACGGCACAGTAGTGTGCCGCGGAACACCGGTTGGGAAACACTGTTATAACACTACTTGCCATAGCTTTGAAGTTGTCATCAGAGGCACCTGTGACAAAGTGAATCAAATGAATGTAAAGTTTTATTTTAAAAAAACCAAAAAAATCCCACACCATACTTAAAATAAGGCAGACTAGTGCAGTTCTCCCATACTTTTATAATAGTTTTTGACTTTGATCACTTTCAGTTTTTACTTCCTACTGACTTAATATGATTTCTCGCAAAATGCTCATCTACAGTAAGTTAGGTTTGTAGTAAGTTTCATTAGCATCTCTGGAGTGTTTTCTGCAAGCGTTACAACTGAAATAGCATTGTGTACTTTCTAAAAGTGCATCAGATATGTACTTTTCCCCATGTTTCTTTTTCATACAACTGGAGTATAATAAAATCAGTGCAGGTCAGGTGGGCCAAAATTCAGAATGAGCTCAGGCTTGCAAGAGAGGTTAAAAATAAAAAGAAAGGTTTCTTCAACTATGTTCAAAGCAAGAGGAAGAACAAGCAGGTAAGTAGGTCCTTTGCTTGGAGAAGACAGAGGAATACTCTTGGGAACAGAGGAGGTGGGACTGCTCAACACCTACTTTGCCTCTGTCTTCAATGAAAAGGAAAGCAGTGCCTAACCTGGTGATAACAGAATAAATGATGCAGGGAAGGAACTGAAGCCCAAGATAGGAAAAGAGGTGGTAAGGGAACACCTAGCTATTTTAAATGAATTCAAATCTCCAGGGCCTGATGAGCTGCACCCAAGGAGTTTACAGATGTAATCTCAGAGCTTCTGTCTGTAATCTTGATAATTTTGGGAGAATAGGTGAGGTCCCTGCTGAGTGGAGGCGGACAAATGTTGTCCCCATCTTCAAGAGTGGGGGAAAGGAAGACACAGCTTGACATCAATACCAGTAATGGTCCTAGAACAGATAATTAAGCAGTCAGTCTGTGAACTCTTAGAAAAGAATGTTGTGATTACTAAGACCCAGCATTGGTTTCTCAAAAACAAGTTTATAGGTCTATGGCATGAATGTAACAACTGTCCTACATTTTGTCTCACAGGAACTACCTAGCATACAGAAATTTGTTGTCTTTGAGCCTTGAGGTTCTATACAGATTTATACATTCATTCATTCATTCATTTATTCATTCATTTTTAAAAAACAAACCACCCTTCACCAGAATACATTCTAGGGCAGTTTGCAGAAATTAAAATACAGAGCATGACTACACATAGCTAATAGCTGTCAGTAGTTCTACCCTCTATGGTTTTGTCTTATTTCCTTTTAGAGGTATCTAGGCCACTTGCCATTACTCACATAACACTTTTGTTTCTCCTTGCTGGTAGTTTGTTTTTATTTTGCACACATATATACCATCCTTTAACCAAATTGTTCCCAGGGTAGTTCATGTCAAGATACAAAGCAGTTTTAAGACTCAAAAAACTTTAAAAGCCAGGGAAAATAAATTGTTTTGGTGCCAGATAAACACTAATAAAGTGGGTACCAGGTGAGCCTCTTCAGTTAGGAAGCTTAATAGGCAGGGCACCACTACTCTTTCTGGAGAGCATTGGGCTCTTCGGTTGTACCAAGAGGTTAATGACACTTGACTTCCAGCATGGTCTTTGAAATAAGGGCAGAAGAGATAATTATTCTTAGCTCTTGGCCTGAGATTAGCTCTCCATTTGCTGCAATTCATCTGCTTTGTCTGAAACAGCATTGTCAGTTCTGGATAAGCAATCTCCAGTCTGTCTTGGCTTCCAACCAGCCTTTTGTATGAGTCTGGCTGCATGATCTCTGCTCTTCTGTCTGAGCTATTTTGACATTTATAGGTATCAGTATTCTTTTACTAGTCTTTAAAGTATAACTGGCCACAGCACTTCATTGCTATTTGACTTGTGGTAGATATCTCAGATCTACAACTGTGCTCATGTCCAGAAACAAATAGGATGCTTCATTTTTTCAACAGAATGTAGGAGTGCAGATTTTAAATATTTAAAATTTCCGAGGAAAAGGGAGCTTTAAATAATCAATGTAAGTCATATTTGCTATTTTGAAATTTGTATTCCTTTATAAATCTGACTTCCTGTTGCATTCAGCATCTGAAACCCAGTTTCTCATTCCACCTCCCTTAGAGGCATGATTGGGTGGGGACAAGAGTATAGGCCTTTGCAGTTAAAGCACCCAGACTATGGTACAATCTTCCCCATGGTCGTCCAACGTGCCTTGCCTCTGGTCTGTGCTGAGTTTCTTCTCTTGCTGCATTAATTTTTATTGTTGATTTTTATCAGCATTGCTTTTATGCATTCATTGGTTGTATAATTATACTTTTAATTGTGAGCTTTCTTGGAAACCCATAGTTCAAGATGAAAGGCAGAATTTAAATCCTGGTCAAGCATGCGTGGTAGTTGGTTGCTGTAACAAAACATATTGGTTTGCAACTAAGAATAGCTTTTATTCAACATAATTTATTCAATATAATCCAAAACATTTTGGTAATGCAGCCTTTTTCACTTGCAAAATTATGTCTGCTAAGAAACCCACAGATTTGTTTGAGCCTCTCTAAACAAGCCAAAGATATCAAACAAGATTGCTTACTTTAAAGCTAAGGATACTAAGTAAGCATACACTTACTTAGAATTTAGTCCAGTTCACCAAAAATGGGATTTTCTTCTGACTAACCTGAATAGAATTGGGCTGTAGAATTCAGGATCATACACAGAAACGGAATGTGTATTGTAGTTCTATGCGTGCAGATCCTGATTACAATCCTGGTAGGGTATAAATTATTGTTTCTCCTGGATTACAGTGGTACCTCTGGTTACGTACTTAATTTGTTCCGAAGGTCCGTTCTTAACCTGAAACCGTTCTTAACCTGAGGTAACACTTTAGCTAATGGGGCCTCCTGCTGCCACCAGCACGCGATTTCTGTTCTCATCCTGAGGTAAAGTTATTAACCCGAGGTACTATTTCTGGGTTAGCAGAGTCTGTAACCTGAAGCGTCTGTAACCCGAGGTACCACTGTATTATTATGCATCTGGCTAGTTTTTGGCTCCAGTAGGAAGTGCAAAATAGCTACAATGCATCACATGTATAATTCTGAAATGCTTAATCTCTGGCAGTCAGACATTCCCCCTCAATGGCATTTTCCCTTACAGAGACAAGGAGAGCTGTATGTAACTAAGTTCTACACTGAAATTAATGGCCCTAAGTTAGCTGTGTATATTAATTTCAATTGATGTCAGGGCTGAAGTCTGATGCAGGTCAGCACGAAGAAGCAGAGGCAGTTGTCAGTGCTTTATTCAAGGAAACGGCATACAACTCAGCAACACTTCCCAGTAGGTCTTGCCCCTGCAGAGCAGTTGCCGGGACTGAACTCCCTGCCTTCCACCCCTTCTAAGGCTCTTCCTCTCCTGAATGTTTCCCAAGCAGTCTCAAACTCTGTCTGCCCATCTCTGACCTCTGTTCCACTCTCGTCATTATCCTGTGTGTTCTTGGAGACCATGGGGAGCTTGTCACAGCAGGAGAGGGAAGACTCTCGGGAGCAGCCTCTTGACCCCCCTCCTCTGCTTCTGTCTCAAAGTCTAAACTTCTCCCTGTTACAGGTTTCTCCTCCTTACTAAACTTCCTTCAGTATCCAGCACCTCCTCCCAAGCTTCTCCCTCTGATCTCTCATCGGTTTCCCACCACCAATCCCTGGGTTCTGGACCTTCCTTCTCTGGGATTTGCCTTGGGGGTTCCCCGACTGGCACCTCCTCATTGTCCAGCCAGCCCCTGACAATTGACCTATTTTAAGTACGACTACCATTGGATATAACCTAAAACCTTTACCTAAGCCTGTTTTACAGGACACCCATGAGCTTTGTCTGCCCTCGTGGTGTCCCTTTATATCCAATTTATGCTTGCAGTGGAAAACCAGGGAGAAAGGAGTCATCGCTCTTCAACACATCTGGGCAGCCTTCTTATGGACAAAGTGGGCTATAGCCCTGCCAAGGTTTTGAACCCTACCCCACCCCAAGGCATGGTCCAATCTTTCTCCTGTCACCCTCAATAATATTAACATGTTTCCAGTGACTGAGAGGCTTTAGTCCATCTTCTCTGCTTAGCTAATCATAAATTTCACTGCTGGTAGATTTCCACCTTGCCTCCAAGGAGAGGAAGCAGTTATTTTAAAACCCAAGTTACTATATTGCCTAGAAATGGCTAAGGAGGGTGGGCAGGAATATTGTCCTGCTGTTTTCTCTCTCAGAAGCCATGCCTCCAGGCAGTGCATCAAACAAACTGGGAGATGAGCTGCTATGGAGGGTAGTTTGGTCACAGCCCTCTGTACACCATTGTGGCTGTTGTGCACATTATTCCCTTCTAGCAGAGGGTGAGTGTGAAGGGGGGGGGTAACATTCTTGACCACAATGAGGCAGACGGCAGGGGAAGAGCTCTCCATACACGTTTCTTTGGTTGAGGTAAGTAAGTAAACAAAAAAGAAGTAAAATTTGTTCTTTCAGCTCATTCTGCTGCATATCTACTCCACCGCTAATATTTAATGTTGAATACAGCCATGTACTTGAGTTTCATTCATACTTCACTGTGTGTGGCATTTCTCAAATAACTGTGGACAAATCAGTTTGTGGTTCTTTCCTAAATTGGCAGGGTGTGGAGATGGGTGACACATTGCTTCTTTCTACATGGCCACTTTAAGAATTGCAAGCCTTTCATATACTGTGAGAAAACACAACATATGAATACTTCAGATAAGTGTTGAGAGCCGTTATTTGGGCTGGCAAAGGTTTAAAGTGCTTTAATTTGGAAAGCTGAGATTGCAATGGGTACATCTGTCAAATTGTTGTTTAAAAATAACCGAGTCTTGTTCAGCAAAGGAACTGAATGCTGCCAGACTGGTTTAATTTATTCCTTGCAATAGCAAATGTTGGCAATCATGCGCCTCTTATACAGACCTGAGATTTCATCCACATGTCATCACATTGAGTCTTGGTTTCCATGTTTCATCTATTCTCTAAAACAGAATATATAAGCAACTGGAATGTTATTTACTAGTAAAATATTTCACACATCTGATGGGGAGAACTATGTTGTGAAGAAATCTCACAATTTGAGTGCTCAGAGTGTTTACTTTTCAGGCGTGTTGGAAAGTTGTCTTAGCGCTTGTGAGTTGCAGAAAGCTTTGGCTTTAGTTCAGTTCTGCGTGGAGATCAAAAGAGGGGGGCCACTGTACCTGTGTTCACTGTACCTCTCCCTAGGGTGTGGTACAGTGCTGGAAAGGCTTGGGGGACGATATAGTGCTCTCACCCTCCGTTCCCTTTGTTATCACAACGTGCTTGTACATTTTACAGGTTTGGTTGGAACAAAATTCTAGACAAGTGAAAATAAGAATGTAAGGTAGTGCCTTGTTCAGTATCTGTCCATTTAGCCTGGTATTGCCACCTCTAGTTGGCAGAAGTTTTACATAGTGTCAGACAGAGGTCTATTCCTCATCTGCTGCCCGATCCTTTGAACTGGAGATGCCAGTGATTGAACCTGGGTCTTCTGCTTGCACAGCATGTGTTCTACCACCAATCTATGATCCCTCTCCATTTATGAGCTATGCATGAACTGGCTTTGGTTACAAAGATGTAATTGATAGCACTGTATAGGATTATTTATCAAGAATATTTTCCCCAAAGGGCAATATCCATATAGTACATTATGAATCTCATTGTGCAGGCTAGAACCGTTCTTGCTGTGAAATGTGCAATCATTTAAAGTACTGTGTGTTCATATTGGCCTTTTTGCAAGGAAATCCAAGGTCAAAGGTTCAAGATATCTTCGAGCTGGAGCCAGTTTTTGTTTTGAAGTTGGAACTGACTTGGGATCATGAGAGGGAGGCCAACTATTCTGAGACTGTATTTTTCATTTTATTTTACTAGCCTGAAAGTGTTATGAAGGCAAGGTTTATAAATGGTGTCTTTTACAGATACTGTGTTAGAGGAATGTGAACTTGTGTCCAAGTGGAATGAAATGCTTTCAGTGAATCATAACACACACACGGGAGTTTAACCTCTCCAAGTAATACAACCCCACGTAACCATTTCTGCTTCAGACCTTTAGTATGCATTCCTTTTGTGTGTCAATAGCTTTTATAGTGTTAGGGATCCTTCTGTGCTTAGAGCTGTCATTTTGCCTTGCTTATGGTACTGTCATTTTCTCCATCTGCCTCAGATTGGCTCGCTTTTTTGCTTCACATCAGGAGGTCTGGATGTAATCACTAGGCAGAGTTTTACATAGGAACCACTGTATGGAAAGCCATGAGCTCCCTATGGAACACTGAACCCTCTGTATTGAAAGCATATCTCCTTTGTTTCCTTCTCTGGACTCGATTGAGACAAGGCACTTCTAAAGTCATGGAGCTTATTACTTCATTTTACAGGAAGGTAGTGGACTGTGTTCCCTGTTCTGCAGAACTTCCAGATACTTGTAGCATGCAGAGCACACTAGAAGTAGAATAGCCTTGTATGAAAGAGCTTTATTTGTGTGTGTGTGTGTGTGTGTGTGTGTGTGTGTGTATAGGCAGATGAAGGCAACTTATGCATCAAGAATATTGGACTTCATGTCCTTTAAACTGACACTTCACACTTGTTTATAATGTTGTTTCTCACCAAAACTTTCATTAAACTAAAGGTAATCTAAATCCAGCCCTTCCTAACTAGGTGCCCTACACATCTGTTGGACTCCAAATCCCAACATCTGCATGGACAGTGTTCTGGGATGGTGGCATCTGTAGTCCAACAACATATGAAGGGGGCTAGGTTGGGAGAGGCTGGCCTGGTCAAACATAGTTTCCAAGAGTGGCCAGCCAGCTTGCAAGCAAGGTATGGAGTTGATGGCCATTCCTTGTTGTTCATTGACAACTTCTTTTAAGCAGAGGCTCTCCATATGACGGTTCCATTGCAATCTATCTATAGTCATTCACTATAGTAGCTGTTTTCTGTAGTCTTTATCTATACTTTTAACAACAACAACATGTGAGTTGGTGGCTGTCACCACAACTTGTAATGAAGTCTATAGTTATGTATTGTGCACAGTGCTTTTTTCTGGGGGGACGCATACCCCTAAACATTTTGTGAATCTAAGTTTGACCTCATTGAGAGGCAGTATTTCAATATGAATAGGAAAATGAGAGTACCCCTAAACATTTTTTTTTTAGAAAAAAAGCACTGATTGTGCAAATATGTACTTTCTCCTGTCTGCTTTGAACCTATTGCAAAACTGTCATTTTTAGGCGAATCAATTATTTGGGGGTCAGAGTGGGCTCATGCAGATGAGTTTTAGATGAGACATCAGTTAAAATCAATGTTTACCTATTCGCAAAACAATAACCTCATAGGTTATTGTGAAAATGAATAGAACTGTAAAGTACTTTGTATATTAAATACTGTATAAATGATTAATAAATACTAGGAGAATAAGTGTATATAAAACTTCTTAACAGGAAAAGGAAGTCTTTTATAACTACTTTAAGGAAAATCCTATGTTCAAAAGAAAGATTTCAGACTGCCTGAATCTGTAGTCCCTGGTCAAATGCAGGTCCTGTTTCATGAGTAGCATGGACTGGCCTTTGCTATGAAGTAGGAACCTTTCATGGGCCTAGGGGTAATGGAAATATTTGACCACACTAGAGAGCTATGGGGTTTTGTATAGCTTTAGCAACTGAAAGTAAGCTTTCAGATACTAGTGCAAAAGAGAATAATATAGAAATTAGGAAACAGGATGTAATATAGAGTTTATTTTGTGTTTTAATGTCAGGCTTATAATTTGAATAACACAGGTACTTGAGGCACACAGTCTAGTTCTTCTCCAAGTGTTAACCTTTATATGTTTGTAAAATTATGATTAATAGTGAATTTTTTCCCCTCTTTAGGTAAAAGAAGAAATGTTATTTGAAGCACTAGTTACAAGGAAGACGGTGACTGTGGGGGAGAAGCTTGTATTACCGTACAAACTGGCAGAGGTATGTGTAGCAGATGTCTTAAATTTGGGAAATTACATGAGATAGCCTAGGAAAATACATCTGCACAGTTTAGGTTCCTGGAAAATGTGGGGGTGGGGCATAGGTGGCAAGGCTTGCAAATGTGTAAGCAAAGATAAGACCATCTTACAACTGAATCAAGAATGAATTCTAAATTCAAATCATACTGGGCATGAAAACAAACATGGAATATATTTACAGATTTCACTGTTGGCAACTGTGTGTATTTTATTTACCGTCACTACTGTTTAGCTGTTTGACTCCTGCTATATTTTTCTAAACTTATTTCATCTTTTACCACAGTGTGTCTCCTTTAGCAAAATGTTCCAGTTATCTCTCTAGTCTGGGAAGTGTGCATTACTAACTTTCTATTTCAGTTCTTTATCCTCAGCTACTAAACTGAGAATAATTTTATAGTCATTTTAGGCATGTAAAAAGTGGACAAAGAAGTAACTTTGAAATGTAGAGTTCTTGATAAGCTGTCTTTAAAATTATGACTGTTTTCTGTTCTGAAGTGTAACCCTTGAATGTGTCTTAGTAATCCTGACCCCTGAAGGAAAACATATGAACCTACATTGTTTAGAATTCCAGCAATCTGAGGAATTCTGACAACTACTCAAATCCCTACATAAACTTCAAATAGGACCAGTTGCTATTTGGACAGTTCCAATTTCCTATACATGTCATCGTGTTCAGCTGTATATTACTAAGAATAGGATGTAATATGGCAATATTGATCACCTTATCAGGTGTAATTTGGAACCAATAATGTGACTGACATTTAAACACCCCTATGCGACCTGCAACTAAACTGGTTGGTTCAGGTGTGTCAAACTACCTACTGAAACATTAATAAACTGAATTGTTAGTAACCTGGAAAAGCTTCAGTCACAGCTGAACTGGAAGCAAACATCAAAGGATATGGTCTGAGTCCCCTTGTTGCATTAGTGCCTGCTGCTTGTTGTTACTCACTGTTGGCAGTGATGATAAGTGTTTCGTTGCAAATTGGGAACATGACAATATCTGTATTTTCAAATGGCTTGCATTTTGTGCAAGGACTGCAGCTGTCTAAGTGAGCCATGAATCCAAATCTTCATCTGTCAGCAGAATGCTGTCCCAGCTAGCATCCTTTTTAAGATACTGTTTTCCCAGACAAGCCTCCAGGGAGAGGTGGCATTTTACATTGTCTTTCCAAAGTAATACGGAATACCTGTGTTGAACTACAATTGCGACTTCACACAAAACATTGCTTTGGAAGTTACAAAAGATTACAAAGGATTGTCCTAGTTTCATGTTTCCTCCATGATCTCCCGTAGCACTCATTTTTGTAAATTCCAAGATGACAAACAAATAAGACTCTTAGTACAGATATGGACTTTTTCGCTAGTGGATAATGTGAGAATATGTGTAGAAGATTAGCTGGACCGTTGCCAAAAATGGTGGACCTCTGTTCTGAGGATGCTATTGTTGTAAAAGGCATTTTGATAACAATGCTGCTCTTTGAATTGGGCTTTGAGGGGGAGAACTGAATCAGCAGAATGTGAAGTACATACTCTGTCCTCTCAGACTGAGGGTGTCCCTCCTGTATGCATAAGCAAGTGGTTTTGCAAGAAGCTATATTCAAAAACAAGACTCTATTAAGAAATATTTGTGGCTGGAAAATGGTCTTGAATATATCATCTGAGTGTGCAGTTGATGATATGCATGTATTTGGCTTTGGCCATTATATTAGTAGCATATGTAAGATATGACATCAGTAAAGGACACGGAAGAAGAGAAATTGAGAGGAGGGAGCGAACATGGCAAGCATCTATTTCTTGTTTGAAAAAAACAATTATGGTGTATGTTAAGGGCTCATCTCCAGTTAAATCACACAGTTGGGATTAAAGCTGTTTTGGTTCCTATTACTTTTCTTTAAAAATACTTTTTATGGAATGCATGGAAGGTCTTTTTAAAACTTTCTCTGCTTTAGCTTATAGAAATGCAAAGAAAGCGTCTTGCTCTAATAACTGGCAGAGCTGAAGTATGGCGGAACTATTCTCCAAACTTCTTTTAAAATATCCCCATTTCTATCTTGTTCTCTGTTAACTTAATCATGTGACTTTAGATGTGACGTCTGATAGAGAACAGGTTATTCTGCATCCAGGGGTTCCGAATGTGAGACAAACATCCCTGGAGAAATTCAGGCAATTGTTAAGAACGTTTCTAAATTACCCCCGACACATATGACCCTCCCTTGTTTTTATGTGTCTTATCTTGGAGACTGGTGCCAAATGGAGGAGGCAAGGCAGAGGAAAAGAGAAGGGAGGTGGATCTGTCACAAAGGATGGCAGTAAAGTCATATTGTTGCAAGGCTGACTGAAATTTTATAGTGGTCATGTTTCACTGTAGATAGATCCTGCTGTGGTTTGCTGCTGTTCCCAGAGGCCAGTTTACCAACCACAATGTAGTTTATTCATTTGGCCACATCCAAATCACATAATTGGGATTTTCGCATGGTGCACATGTACTTGGGGAGAGGGCTTTTGCCCATGGACCATAAACTGAGCAACCTATCATATGCTTTAGCTTGTTTGTTGCTGTTGGAGAACTTGGAACTTTTTTGAGTGTCTGGTACTTGTCAGAACTTGGACACTTTCAGCAATTGCACAGTCTCTGTTGAACCGGAAGAGACTTATTTCCATTCAAAGAAGCAGTGGGTGGGGAAGAAGTAAGGAAGAAAATGCCAAATGGTGCGTCTTTTATTTTCCTTCCTTTTAATCAAGGTTAAACTTTGCTGATACAATCTGCCTTCCTTGTGCAAAGTTTATTTTACCAGGGAAAAAGCTCTGTTTTTAAAATAGATCATTACTGGCAGTTGAAGTAGCGTTCCTTTGTGGGTTTTGACATTAATACTATCAATTGGAGGACTTGGTGTTTTTTGTTTAATTAGCACTGTAGTTTACAGCTATTCCATGCAATTCCCATACTTGTCAGTGGATAAATAAGGTGATCCACATGGACTAAGAATGAAATTCAAAGTGATGCCCCTCCCTGAGAATCACAAAATGTGTGAACAAAGAGAACTTCAGCAGGCCACAGTAATCCATTAGATCTCCTAATATGAAACCTTGGCTCATTTTCCTTTCAGAAAATGTTTTGCTTTTGGGAGCAGAAGGTTTGTGGAAGCAGTCTTGCACTGTATAGCAGTATTTTGTCCCTTTTCCTTTAAAATTGTGCAGAAGGTTTTGAATCAAACTACATGGCAGAACAATAAACACACTAAAGGATTTATTGCCTCCCAATATATTTTAGTAAACTCAGCAGGTGTCAATGTAATCTTTGCTTTAACCCTAGAGAATGTAATTATTGTACTAGAAGTAAAGATGTTAATCCATCCTTTAGAGTGTTCATGGGATAAAACTGGGGTATGTGTACAGACATTACTGCTTCCCCAGGATTATTCTTACCAAGAAAAATCAGGAATGGTCTTTGGGCTAATGGGTGGAAAATAACTAGAGAATGTAGTTTTGCTAGTAGTGAAGAGAGGTTTGGGGTGTATGTGAGACAAAGGTCTTCACCCAGTCTCATCCTGGATGGAAATCCTGCTTGCAAGTAAGTAATGGTATAGAGCCAGTATAGTGCAGTGGTTAGTGTCAATCAAGATAGGGGAGACCTGGATTCAAATCACTTCACTGGATGGCATTGGGATAGCCACACACACTCAGTCTAACCTACCTTATCGGGTGATTGTGAGGGTTGAATTGGAGAAATGGAGAATGTATGCCTAACCCTTGAACTCCTTAAAGAAAGGTGTAAATGTTCTCTGAAAATAATGTGACTGACTAGAAATAATGTACTCATTCTCTTTTATTTTTAGGCTGTTACAGTGCGGAATTCCATGGCTAAATCGTTGTACAGTGCTCTGTTTGATTGGATAGTTTTTAGAATTAACCATGCACTTTTGAATACCAAGGACTTTGAGGAGAGCACCAAGGTAACACCTAGGCTCGGTTTAAATGTCTGCTTAGATTTTATCCATCCTTCATATTGCAATTCTATAGGTTTTATTTGTGTTGTCATGCTCAGACATTGCATGTAGCCATTTTGGTAGAAGAAGGCTAGATTTTAGCAGTAGTTTGAGCTTGAGGACAAATCTTTGGACTTTTGTGACCAAATAGAAGCATTGCCTTAAGACTTGTATACAAAGTGTATTTTTATTTAAGATCTGAACCAATTCCGAAATGATTGCAAGTGCTTTAATATGTGTGTTCTTGTGCAACCTATCAAATTCATCTATTAAGGGTAATATTTATAAAACTTCACTTTATGTTGCAGACTTTGTCCATTGGAGTACTTGATATTTTTGGGTTTGAAGATTATGAAAGTAACAGTTTTGAACAGTTTTGCATTAATTTTGCAAATGAACGTTTACAACACTATTTTAACCGACACATCTTTAAATTGGAGCAAGTAAGTCTTTAAAACTACATAGTTGCTTTTCTTTCTTTTTTTACTAATAGTGAAATTTCATTTATTTTATTTTATTAATAGTTTACTAATATTGAATATATAACTTTCACCTGAAAGTAATTTCACTATATTATATCCATTTGCAGGTGGTAGTTCTAGTGTTACTATTTTTCATAAAACCATCATATGTTGTAAAAAAGAAAGTATTTTGTTGGAAGTTCCTAATCAAACTGCATGCTTGTGTTCTCACCTCTCAATTGATATGAAGATCATAGCAGCTCTCACAGAGCCTTAATTTTTCTCTCTTCAGTAGAATGTTGGCCGGCCATCTCAGCTTAGGCTACATCTTATGCAGTGTCTGGCTAACTGTGCAGGTGAACACAGAACTTGAAATTCTAGTCTGTGGACAGTTGGAAACATTTGCTTTACAAAGGCAAGGCTTTCTGCAAACATTCATGGGTACTTTGCTATTGAAACTTTGTACATGTTCAGAGGCCACCTGTCCAAGTTGCCAGAAATTGGGGAGATCTAAGGTCGCAACTCGGAACAGGTCATGTGTCCAGGGGTCGGGGCTACTGCAGACTACAATGTATTTGATGCTGGAAGGAGTATAATCAGAGATGAAACTCTGCAAAGCTTCTAGAAGAAATCAGACTCTATTGTTCACTAAAATACAGGTTCTGTAATTAAAACATTTTCTGTGTTTTCATTTAATTACTAGTTAAAAACAATATTTAGCCACTATTTGCCTGGTCAATAGAGCATTTTATTGGTCATCAGAACTCAGGCATTCAGTGTATGAAGACAGTACTCACAAACCCATCCCCTCCTTGGGGTACACAATTGCGGGAAGAAAAACCTTCTGATCTTCCTCGAAGGCTCCTTCCTTTCTATATATTTTCCATATAAAACTGGTTCTAAAGGATCTACATTGGCTCCCAGTTTGTTTCCAAGCACAATTCAAAGTGTTGGTGTTGACCTTGAAAGCTCTAAAATGCTTTGGTCCTGTATACCTGAAGCACTCAATGCGAGAAGTGAGGGTACAGGGAACCAGGCAGAGAGCCTTTTCTGTACTGATGCCCACCCTGTGGAAAGCCCTTCCAGCAGATGCCAAGGATAGGCAGCCCTATATTGATGTTTTATTGTGTTTTTAATGTTTTGCTGAGAGCTGCCCAGAGTGGCAGGGGCAACCCAGTTAGATGGGCAGCATGTTGTTGCTGTTGCTGCTGCTGCTGCTGCTGCTGCTCAAACTTTGTAGTTAAGATTTATCTGAGCAACTCAGCCAGGCTCTAGATGTGAAACAAGCTGCAGGGCCTTCTGTTGGCACCAGGAGGGGAAAAAAGAGGAGCTGAAGGCAGTTCTTTTTTCTCAACTTGTTCCTTTAACTGGCCTGAGATGTAAGTCACCTTCTAACCCTTTGTAGGATTGGAAGGAATTGAGGCACCATCCTAACTGTGCTTAAAAAAAAGTAGGGAGATTTTTCAGTGGAAGAGACCTCCTGCCCTGTTCCCTCATATTCCCTCCCATATCTACACAGGGTGCAGAAATGTGGCAAATCAATATGCTGATAATCGGCACGTTTGGTAGATGCAGCACAGGATGTTGCTGCAGCTTCATTATAAGCTACCCTACACTTGATGTAGGAAATACTTGTATGCCATGACACATTAAAATTGTCTGTTTACATGGTTGCTGGTATTTGGAAAAAAACATCAAAGGAGCAGCCCTCATGCACAGGCTTCCTGAATTTGTTAGCATATGGCTTGACTTTTCACTGTGTTTAGCAAAGCAGATTGCTTTAAAATACTGCTAAAATATTATGTGGGGTTTTTGCCTTAATGAGTGTAACTTGCTCCCATCCCAGGAGGAGTACAGACTGGAAGGCATCAGCTGGCATAACATAGAATACACAGACAATTCCGGCTGCATAAACCTTATCAGTAAAAAGCCAACAGGGTTGCTCCATCTGCTGGATGAGGAAAGCAAGTGAGTATGTTGTTGCCCAACTCTTGTGATTGTCAGGTTTCAGATCACTAAAGTCCTGTGTTGTTGTTGTTTGCAAGTGAGTAGCAGCCTAAAAGTGAAAACCAAAATAAGAAAGATCCCTTATGATTATCCATCCATTAATATTTTAAAGATCTCCTTACCTTTAGGGAGGAGGATGCAAATGATCAAGCTGTCCCCAGGACGAGAATGCTCACTCAGGTTAATATGGCCATCTGTATGGGATGTGCTGGATCTGCAACAAAATATTACATTGGGTTGTTCAGGATGCCAACCCATGCCCTTATCCAATGCTTTTTATCTTAAAAAAAAATGTTATGGGTACTCTCGTTTTGACTCAAGAAAATCCCCATTTAATAGTTCAAATCAGGAAAGATAAATACAGTAAAAGGACAAAAGTACAAAGCATCACAAAATGTTTAGGGGTATGCATACCCCTGCACACATCCACACACCCAGAAAAATAGCACTGCCCTTATTCATTTTGCACACACTATTCAGTGTCATTCCCCATCTGCCCCACTCAGTCAACATTCCATGACCACTGAACATGTTAAGTCCTCTATGAAATGTTTTCAGGGGTTTCTTCAAGCCAGCTGATGGTAAGGGTGGTGTCATTTTGTCTGAGGAAAGATTCCCATTCAGAAAATGAGTTTACAGTTGTTATAAGAAAAATACTGTTCCTTTTCCCTTATGGGGTATCTAAGAGCCTGAAATGTCCTTAAGTAGGTTCTCTATCGTTAGGAGAAAATAACAAAGGCCAACCAGAGAATATTGAGAAGCAAGGCAGCTAGTAAGCCCGATCTTTATTAACTACTGCAACAGGGTCCTCACAACCACACGCAGGAGGGAGGAGGGACCCAGAATAATGGAGTGCAAGCTCTTATATAAACTTTTGAAATTGCCTCCCCTGTAGCTCAAGACCGCCCCGTAAAACATCACACATACATAACTGAAGGGGCGGTCTACAGCAGAAAACCTGTCTGCCAGGATACCTCATAATGGTCACTGATTGCTTTTACCTAGGCATCCTGGCCATTCCTTTGTGATGGTAGATACTTTAGTTCCTGAATCTCTTACATATATTGATAGTTTGCTCAGCTTAACAGGTACTTGCCAGACTGTATTTGCAAAGGGAGGTGTAAGCCCCTACAGTCCAAAGACAACGGAAAAGCTTTTCCCATTTCCTTCCTCCTTGCAGAGAAATATTTGAGGTCAATTTGGGACAGTCAAAATGGCTTCAGGATTGCTCTTCTGTACAGTTTCAGACACTATACTTATGCATGTGTGTTTGCCTTGTACATTTATGAACACGTGATTTTATATATTTGAGACCTTAGAATTCCTATAACAAGTTACAATATTTATATAGCTTAGATGATATAATCTATTCCATTGTGATAGGATAGCACAATCTTGGAAATGTGTTCTGGAGATATGCATTACTCAGCACACACTCTCTTTATGTCATTATCCTTCCAGTATTTCCCCAATTTCCCATTCCTATCAACTCATACTTGAGTCATCAAGTATGGCATACAGTAGTTTCCTTTCTTGCATCTAAAAGAGTTGAACTTTTCTGTGAGACTTGATGGACATGAAAATAGCCTTTTCCTGAAAGGGTTTTTGTTTGTTGTTCGTTTCACAATTCAAACTTTGTGGTCATCAAAGCAGGAAAATATGTCTGTGCCCCACTCGTGGTTTTGCTACAATCATAATAGGGACTAGTCAGTATAGGCAGGGATGTATACTGAGGACCAGTGTGCACAGACTATAATAGCTGATGGGGTCCCAAGAGAAAATTCTGTGTTGAAAGTCAATTAAATAAGTTGCAATTGAAAGTGATTATTAGCATAGGAGCCAACTCCTAGGGACCAAGGTCTCTTCATCCCACCCCCCCAATAAAATAGTTGAGGGGGCCAGGCCTTTCTAAAGTTGATGGACAGTGCCATTCAAATAGTGTGCCACATCCTGTGATCAATTATGTGGGGCAGGGCTTACCCCCCCCCCCATGTTTTATTCAAGTTGGCACCCCAGTTATTAGACAGTTTTGGTGCATGAATGGATTGTTTTCTCCTTACTGAAGTGATGCTAAAAAACCAAAAAAGGAGTTCTTTCTAGGACATGCAGTTCTCACAGGAGAGGCTGGCTAGCCCCAGTCCCAAGTGCAATCCCAAATTGACTGCATGCTCTGCAAGTTCTCAGTTTTGCTAGAAAGTTGGACAGTGACCCAAATACCCACAGAGCTACCACATTGTTTGAGCAGGAGTGTCCACAACAAACAGATCAGAAAAATGGAGATAGCACCAGTGATTTATGATACGCTTCTCAGTGTTCATGATCTCAAGGGAGGGTGGGAGGCTGATCTTGTGGTTCAGATCTTAGATTGTGTCTGGAGGAAAGCACCGCTTAAGACAATTGCAGCTTCCATAAGGAAGAACCGGCGTGGTGAGAGAGAGGCCAAAAGGCCCCGCAGGCCAGGAATTTATCCCTGCCCTGGGCGTGGTGCCAAGCGCCACTATTGGTCAGTTGGCACTGCGCCCAGGGGAACGCCCTCTGATTCCTGCCACCATTTGCCAATTTGGCGGCAAGGGGACAATCTTGCCTTCACTAGGCTGGTTCACAGAGGAGGGCCGGGGCCCGCCCTCAAAGCTGCCTGCCCGAGAAGGAGTAAGCAGACATCTTCATTTTATGCTATTGACTATGGTGCCAACCCCCCTCTTTCTTTCTGCGTTACTCTTCATTTTTTTCTGAATTTTGATATACATACACTGTGTGTGACCAAACATTATACTGATTGTTCTGTTGTTTGTTTTTTTCCTGTTATTGGTCTGTTTGTTTCTTTTTTGCTACTGTATACTGTATTGTTACTGAAAGGAGGAGAGAAAAACAATAAACACTTAAGCAATAATGCTCTCTTCACACAATACTCTTTTCCTGCATGAAAACAAAATTTAAAAATCCAATTTGTTTGAAGTGTAGTTTTTGCTGTGATGTGAATATGCTGATCAAGCCGCTACTGTTTTGTCTCCCTAGTAAGCAGCTAGATTCTTAGTGCCTGTGTGCTGGAAAAGGAGAGTGAAAAACCAATCAATTTTAGCTCTATAGACATGTTGCTGTTTTACTAATTATCTAATTATCTAATGATTTGGGAACTGAATATATCCGTATGACTTATAAGAATACATGTATTAAAATCATCAACTAAAAACATTCTCTTCTCTTCATTCAGTTTCCCACAAGCCACAAATCAAACGCTACTAGACAAGTTTAAGCGTCAACATGAAGGGAACCTCTACATTGAATTTCCAGCTGTAATGGAACCTGCTTTCATCATAAAACACTATGCTGGAAAAGTTAAATATGGTGTGAAGGTCTGTACATTGTTCACTGCTAACGTTTTCTCTAAAAATAGATGCAACTCTTGCTTTTAATATTTGAAAGCCATAATAATGCCTTTGGAGGCTCTTGTTGTTGAATTAAGTGATCCTTATCATAGAACCATAGAATTGTAGAGTTGAAAGGGACCTTGAGGGCCATCTAGTCCAACCCCCTGCAATGCAGGAATCGCAACTAAAACATACATGACAGATGGTTTGTCACCTGTAAAATGGGGATTTCAACTTCAGTACTGTAAGTTTTGAATCTGCACTTTTACTTTTTCTCTTCCTGTATTTGTGCCAATATTGGAACTTGGTGGATTGAATCAAGAATATATGCACTTTAACATAATCACCTATTTTGTTTTTCCTTTTTATCCCAGTTGAAGCTGACGTTTAACCATAGTTACCTGCATATAAGTTCCATTGATTTGAATGGAACTTAATGCACCTGAATGTGAGCATGTGTATGGCCTAATTTTTAAATGAAAATATCAGTTATTCTAGCACAGCCCACCTGCAGTAGGAAAAGCTTATCATGTTCATGTGCACAAACAGATCACATGAAGAACATGTGTACATTGTCTTGAGTTTGAAATTATTATACAGTTCTTATAGGGAAGTGCAAGACCATAAGTGAGATTCCATTGCATTCTTGTCATTCCATGATCCTATTCATATTTCCCAAGTTTGATTGCTTTCTTAGGCAATGTTAGCAGCGGTGACAATGCATATTTCATCTAATTTGTAAATGCTTCAAAAAGTGCTAGAGAATAATGCTAAGCTTGAGGAACGTCTTAGAACCTTATTCGGCCAAGCAGCTTTAACAGATGCATTTAACAGATATACAGCATACTATTGAGCATATATTATTGCCCTGACTATTGTAGAATGTTTTAGGACAGTGTTTCCCAACCTTTTTTGGGCAAAGGCACACTTGTTTCATGAAAAAAATCTCGAGGCACACCACCATGCCAGATGGGGAAAGGTCACTTTTTACTTATGTAAAAAAAAAAAATAATAAATAGTAACAGCATAGAAGGTAATGGTTAGGCTAGCATCCCTCTTCCAAATATGCTAGGTTTTTATTTGCAGGGACTGTTCTACATGGGAAAGCATTCAGCACTGTCATTCTCCCATCTGCCATCTGAATTGGTACTATTCTGGGTCAACTTACTCTGCTGCATGTGTAGATGAAAATGGCACCAAGTGTGGGGGAGGGGGCAGAACAGGTTTCAGATACAGGATATTAAGCATACACGTACTTCAGATTGAACTGGTTGCTTGCTTTGCAAGTTTTCATTTCCCAAATGACTGCCTTGGCAAGCGCAATACCTACCAGGCTCAACGCCGGTCTCGCGCTGCCGCTTCCCACGCTCTCAAGGACCCGGGAGGAGGAAGGCGTGAAGGGAATCCCGAAGGCGCGAAAACCTCGCGCATGCGCAGGCCTTCCGCCTGCGACAGCCCAGTAGGCCGGCCGAAGCGAGCGGCGATGGGATGTGGGAGGGAGCTCGCTCGCCGCCCCACGTGTGCCTATGTGGGGCACGTTACAGCCCCGTGACGTCAGCGCCACGCAGGCAGCCAGGCAGGCAGACGGCGAGAGCCCCGCGCTGGGCGGCCTCTCCTCGCCGCCGCCGCCCCGCCTCTCGCCGCCCCGACTCGCCCGCCTCCCTCCAGGCAACATCTCGCGGCACACCAGGCAACGTCTCGCGGCACACTAGTGTGCCGCGGAACACCGGTTGGGAAACACTGTTTTAGGAACATAGGAAGTTGCCTTATACCAAGTCGGGCTACTAGTTCATCTAGCTCAGAGTTGTTGTACACTGATAAGCAGTGGCTATATCCAGGATTTCATGTAGGAATCTTTCCCAGGCTTACCTGAAGATGACAGAGATTGAACCCAAAACCTTTTGCCCTGAAAACTTGTACTCTACTACTTCAGGACTTGCTGAACACTGTACTTCATTTCTTTCCTCTTTAGGATTTCCGGGAGAAAAATACAGATCATATGCGACCAGACATTGTCGCTCTCCTAAGAAGCAGCAAGAGTGCCTTTATTTGTGGAATGATAGGAATTGATCCTGTTGCTGTGTTTCGTTGGGCGGTCCTCAGAGCTTTCTTCAGAGGTGTAGTTGCATTTAGGGAGGCAGGAAGGCGGCACATTGAGAAGAAAACTGGTAGGTGTTGTATACTGTAACTATCTTCATATAAAATGGGTTTGTCCATAACCTCTCAAAGGTGTCTGCTGTGTCTTTAAGGGCTAGTCTCCAATTTCAGATCTTGCATTATAAGAAATCAAGGTTTTAAATGCTTTACATCTGTTATTCCCCCCCTCCCCCAAAGCTTGTGGCACATAAAAGATGAGCCTCATGATCCCATGAATACAAAAATAAGATGGATCTTAATAGTTTAGGACAAACTATTGTGTGAGCTTTTGATAGGGCATAGGTCTTAAAGTTGATTAAACATACCTGATAGGAGTGTTGATAGTTTTAACTGAGCTGTAGTTGTTGTTGGCAAAGTCTGAATGCATAGAACATTTAGAGATGATTTCTAAAGAATAGGTAGATGGATTTTATTTCCAGTCTTAGCACCACAGCACCACAATACTGCTATAGAAATCAAAGCCCTCTTCCTGCTCTTTAAGAGTAAAAGACAGCATTTCCCCACCATTCCAGCACTGGTGTGGGAATCACTGTAAATGCTTCCATTTCACTTTGTCCAGAATGATCTGGGCAAAGTAAAATGCAGTTTATTCCAGCCACTACCACTCCAGCACCAGAATGGGGAGGGCTGGAAATGCTGTGTGCAACAGAGGTGCTGTGTGATAGCATGTCTGGTGAGTGTATGTGGTGCATTTCTGTCTGTGTGTGCATACATTGGCCATGCCCGCCACTAGCATGGGACCCTTGGTTTGAAAAAAGTTAGTCACCCCTCTATTAACATTTATAAAACAGAGGTCATTTTAAAAGTCCTTTTGCATTTAATCATAACAAAATTAATTTCTCCCAGGCTGTTCGTTTGGGGCCTGCTGGTTACTGTGAACTGGGCTACAGTCATCTCCTTGTCCTGGTTCTCCTTAAAATCTTTTTATAACCCAACCTCAACCCCTTTCCCGCCAAAAAACTACATTCTAATGGACTCTGAATCTGTAGCCTTGTATATTTGAGGATATTTTGCTTAAGGTGCGCACAGTATTTTGTGAGGCTTGTCCTTGTTTCTCTCATGTCTGCGTTTTGGGGGCCTTTTTCTTTTCAAAACTGAAAACAATTAGCTCAAAACAAATGTGTAATAGATCGTCTTTGGGGAGATTCACATTGAACATACTCAAATTCTGTTACATACAGTGGTGCCTCGCAAGACGAAATTAATTCGTTCCGCAAGCCTCTTCGTCTTGCGAGTTTTTCGTCTTGCGATGCACGGTTTCCCATAGGAATGCATTGAAAATCAATTAATGCGTTCCTAGGGAAACTGCCTTCAGACCAGGTCCGGGGACAGTCTGTCCCCCGACCTCTTCTGAAGGCTGGGGGGGGACAAGGGCTTTTCTTCCCACCCCCAGCATTTTAAAAAAACCCCGGGACAGCGGAGGACGTCTCCGCTGTCCGGGGCGATCTTAAAATGCTGACGGGCGGCATTTTAAAATCGCCCGGGACAGCGGAGGACTTCTCCGCTGTCCGGGGCGATTTAAAAGCCCCTGGGAAGGCAGGCATGGGGGACAAAGACTTTCGCCCCCGCCAGCCTTCAGAAGAGGTCCTGGACCTCTTCTGAAGTCTGGCGGGGGGCGAAAGTCTTTGCTCCCCCCCTGCCTGCCTTCAAAAGCCCTCCGGGACAGCGGAGAAACGCGCTGCGTTTCTCCGCTCTCCCGAGAAGGCAGGCAGGGGGGAGCAAAGACTTTTGCCCCCCGCTGGCCTTCAGAAGAGGTCCTGGACCTCTTCTGAAGGCTGGCGGGGGCGAAAGTCTTTGCTCCCCCCGCCTGCCTTCAAAAGCTGACCGGCCCAGGCTTCGCGGACCTCTCCGCAAGCAGCGGCAGCACTGCCGCTGCTTGCGGACAGGTGCCAGCATGCCGAAGCCTGGGCGCACCGAGATCAGCGCGCCCAGGCTTCCCGCCCCGCCGCCCGCCATCGGGGCATCGTCCCGATGGCGGGCGGCGGGGGGAGGCGTTCCCGCCCCGCCGCCCGGGATCGGGGCACCGTCCCGATGGCGGGCGGCGGGGGGAGGCGTTCCCGCCCCGCCGCCCGGGATCGGGGCACCGTCCCGATGGCGGGCGGCGGGGGGAGGCGTTCCCGCCCCCCGCCGCCCGGATCGGGGCACCGTCCCGATGGCGGGCGGCGGGGGGAGGCTTTCCCGCCCCGCCGCCCGGCATCGGGGCATCGTCCCGATGGCGGGCGGCGGGGGGAGGCGTTCCCGCCCCGCCGCCCGGGATCGGGGCATCGTCCCGATGGCGGGCGGCGGGGGGAGGCGTTCCCGCCCCGCCGCCCGGGATCGGGGCATCGTCCCGAAGGCGGGCGGCGGGGGGAGGCGTTCCCGCCCCCCGCCGCCCGGATCGGGGCATCGTCCCGATGGCGGGCGGCGGGGGAGGCGTTCCCGCCCCCCGCCGCCCGGGATCGGGGCATCGTCCCGATGGCGGGCGGCGGGGGGAGGCGTTCCCGCCCCGCCGCCCGGGATCGGGGCATCGTCCCGATGGCGGGCGGCGGGGGGAAGCGTTCCTGCCCCCCGCCGCCCGGATCGGGGCATCGTCCCGATGGAGGGCGGCGGGGGGAGGCGTTCCTGCCCCACCGCCCGGGATCGGGGCATCGTCCCGATGGTGGGCGGAGGCGGAGGCATTCCCCCCCCGCCCGGCATCGGGGCATCGTTCCGAAGCCCGGCGGCGGCGGGAGGAGGTGTCCCCGCCCCGCCGCCAGGCTTCGGAGGAGGTCCAAGGACAGCGGGGAAGACGCGCTGCGCTTCCCCGCTGTCCCGGAGATTTCCCTATGGGCTGTCTTGCGAAGCAAGCCCATAGGGAAATTCGTTTTGCGAAGCGCCTCCAAAACGGAAAACCCTTTCGTCTAGCGGGTTTTCCGTCTTGCGAGGCGTTCGTCTTGCGAGGTACCACTGTATTACAATTTGCGTGTAAGCATTTGTACTAAAGAGCATTCAAAAATATTTTACACTTAATTACAAGTTACTCAGGATATTAGTTTTGCAAGTATGCTTACAAATGTTATAGTAAAATCTGGCTGCTGCTAATTTAGAATTAGAATAATGGAATTGCGCCTGATGTTCTAGTCTATTTCACAATAATTTTCATATGCTCAGCCCTTCCAAGTGTATCATGGCTACCAGTCAGTTTGTTCAAGAAACCAAAATGCAGATTTTGTGGCACAGGTACTAACTTGTCTATCAACTACATAGCTAGAAGAGCAAGAATTCGGGCTATTGCACAAGGTATTGTTTTCATGTAGGATGGTGGATGTTTTCACTACAGATATATATGACACAAATGTGTGTTTTGCTGTGAGTGCATATGCTGAGAAGCTATATTGGCAAAAATATACTCATATGTGATGGTATACAGGCTTTCCATGTTTGCTCTTCTTTCATTTTTTGGCAGGGAGGGGGGGATGTCATGCGAGAAACAAAATCTAACCTGCTTTCACAAATATCCAGAGTGTTAACTGTGTCAGTCTCTTGCAGCTTTTATTATTTATAAGAATTAAACACACATAATGCAGATTGCTGTGATCTTATTCCTAAAAATGGGAAACTCAAGGGGAGAGGGGAATAAGAGCTTTCCTTTTGGACAAATGAAAATACATTTTTGCAGATGCTAAAAGGTTTTCGTTCTGGCCAAACTACATGCTACAAATGTATAATGATAGGAGTAGCTGCTGCTTGCATGGGTGGGTGGGAATGATTATTGGGTTAGATTAGTCATATTGATTTGTACTGGGGGGGGGGGAGGGAGTAGCTTCCACTAAGAAAAGCAGCTTTCAGAGGGGGCATTTTCCAGCGAAATAGTGGTAAATTTTCTAGCCAACTCAAATCTAGTTGGAGGCAATGATGGTGTGAAAAATTAAACTTTGGACCCTTATAGTTCATCTGTTTTTAATTGTTACAAATGTACCATGGAGAATATCTAAAAGCGTTAAGTGGAATAGTCAGGGCTTTTTTATTTCTTGCACCTGGTATAGCTTGAACTCCTGATGTGAGCATTCCACATCAACTCTTTGATATACTTCCTTAATCATATACTGCTGTTCTTTACAAGGGTAGCTTTTATCTACAGGTGTGTGGAACATCTCATGGACAGTCAGAAAGCAATAGGAAATATTGTCTGAGAAAGCTTCTACAGTTACATTTATGGTACATATGGAAAGTATCTCATGCCTATGTCTCGTTCGTTTTAAATCACTTTATTTTGTTCTTTCCGTGCCAGTGATGTTGAATATCAGTGCTGTGCATTAACTTGAAGTTAATATTTATTTGCAGTGTTTTCTTCTGTAGCTTTTTGTACTTCTGTTTATGTAGTTTAGCTTTTCAAATACATCTGTTAAGCTTCTAGAGTTGAATGAATGCAAGTGTCTACAGTTTGTGCTTTTCTTCTCCTGACTCAGCAAGTGATACTGTAGCCCTTCTACATTTATAGTAGCAAACTTTCATCCTGATAACTGAAAGTAAAAACAAACATCACATTTTCAAAGTTCGTATTTCAAATTTTAGTGAAGAAAGATTTGCATTCCACACTAAAAATTGATTAATATATCTCACATAAAAATGATCCACATTCAAGTGGGCCTGTGAAATCATTATGAATGCAAACCCTGGCTTTTTAAATTGTAATATTTAGATGATGTAGAAAATTTCAGGCAAAGAATCTATTTCCACCCTTGTAATTTCCCTGTAATAGTGGTCCTGTATCAAATTTTGCTGTAGTTCTTGGTTCATCCTCTATCTTAATCATTTGTGTTAGGAATATGCTGCAAAGTTAAATAGCCACCCTTCTCTGTTACACGAGACTGTTTTAAGTATCTGGCAACTCTTTCTGTTTTGAGCTATGTTTGTGTTGCATTTAGCTATCCCATGTTACTGTCAGTATAATCCCTAATATGTAACAATTTCTGCTGGCTATTGATGGTGAAACAAAGCTAGTAGTTAAAATGGTATAATGTGAGGTAGACTGCCCAGTCAAGATCATAGAATAAATATGCAGCATCCAGTTTAAAATGAACTTTTTTGTGGTCTGTCCACATCTAGACTGCAGCTGTTCTGAAATTTATTCAGTCTAATCCATTTCTTTGGTCAGTCTTTCATTCCATTTCATCATCAAGGTCACTTCCAGACAACTTGTTTGTTGAACATTCATCCTGATTTGCTTCTACAAAGTTTACAGGGAAGTTATATGATGTGGGCTGTTAGAGCGGTTGTCCCTAAGCTTTTTGGTATTGCAACCCACAATTCCAAATTTGCTTGTTAGGATGGTCCATTGATTTGTTGTCACATGAATTTTGGACCTAAGGTCTTCAGCAGCTGTCAATTTCATTTGTTTTAATTGCAAGTTCTCCTATTTAATAACCATTATTTGAGGCATCCAAGCAAAAATTTACTTAATACCCTTCACAGTGTAGAATTTGTTGAAATATTTATAGTACTTGCAGTTATTCATAGTGTTTTATTTTTAATGGGAATCACCAGTCAACTGATTGCAGGCTATTAATTCATAAACTATGAAAGTTATTCTAAAAACAGGTGATTAAACAGGCAGTGTCAAATATAATTAATGAAAAAGTTCATTATGGCAAGCATCATCAGTAGGATGGCTGAGTTTGCATTTTTCCAACAAGTAGGTCAATGCAATGTTTGATAGTTGTCAGACATAGTCTGAGATCAGTATTGATAGATAGCTTGCTACTGTCTTCATAGCTGTCATTGCTGAAAAAACCTGTATTGCAAAAATAAGCACAGAGACTGATTCAACAAGCTCAGGATACTCAGTGGTAACTGAGTAACCTAGCAATTTTGGTAATTTGAAGCCAGATTTTAAATAGCCTCACTTCCAGAAAAATATATTTGAGGTCCAATCACATGATAGTTTCATGAATTGTTCTTTTTGCACAAGTACAACTTTGTGACATCACTCGAATGTCTCTGTTTCTTCAGCAGAAAAGTCTTGGGCAAACTTAAACTATACAAACTTCAAATCTCCCTTGGCTTAACTATGAACTAAATCTTGTGGCATATCTGCTGAAGATTCCTCACAAGTTGTTCATACAGAGAGTTATTTTGAGTGTCTTTTGTGCCTGCATATGAGAGGTGAACTGTAATAGTCACTCAAAACAACACCCTCAACAAGCGCCTTGTGGTGAACCATCTCCAGATCTGCCTCTAGAAAGCAGTTCCCAAGTGTTACAGTGCAAGACTTGAGCCTTTCTGATGTTCAGTTACAAACATAAGAGGCACTGCCTTTTAGTCTTTATCTTCCTGATTATGTTGTAACAACAGTAATATGAATCAAGCCCAACACAAATAGTAATTCATGATGCTTGAAAGTTAAAAAAAACTGTAAGAGAGCACCTAAAATAAATTATGTAGATTAAATAGGCCTGTCCTGCATTATGAGAGTCCACATGCAGAATCTGGCATATCTGATGCAGGATTTTTGCAAGACTGGAAGTACAAGATAAGTAATAATTAGAATTATTGGAGACATGGATGGTAGTTTTCTGTTTTCAAGATTAAAGCCCTAAGAGCCACATAAAAGCAATAATTGTTATGATTTGTTTTGAATTCCGCATTTCAGCAGGCTATACCTAATCTGGATATAATTCACAGCCCACATCAGATACACATATTTATAATAATCAGAACAGCTTATTTAAAATGATGCATTAGGCAATGCCCTTTGGAAAATGTGATCCTAATTGCTAATGGGTAAGTGAGCTCATTAATCCCATTAAACATAGAAATGTCATGCTATTTTATGAAAATGCTATGATAAAACTGTTAACACATATCATGGCCATGCATTATAAAATGCAGTGCTGTTTCATTGTTGATTCCAATTTATAATTCATTATTTTGGCTGCAGCTTTATCTTTTCAAAAAACAAAGGGAAGTTGCCCCAAACCCAGCAACTTGCCTTACAACGATCTAGTAAAAGATCAGTTCATCTCTGTCTTGTGCACTCCTCAGAATTGCTAGAAATGGTGAAATTACTGTCCGTAGGCAGAAAGCACCCATCACTTTTGAACTATTCTGTGTCAATAAGGCAGTTGTCCGCACTGTTCTTGACTCTTCGTTGGTTTCTGCTTATGTAATCTTTCTCTTTTCTCCATGTTTTTGTTTTGCTTCCCAAGGGCATGATGATGCGGTTTTGAAAAGTGTGGATAGTTTTAGCTTTCTCCATCACCCAGTTCATCAGAGGAGCTTAGAGATCCTGCAGAGATGCAAGGAGGAGAAGTACAGTAAGGCGCCATATCCCACCATCTCTCTGACATGACACTCACACACAGCAGGAAATGGAAACCAGGAGCATTCTTAGTAGCAAGGGTGGGCAACCATGCTTGGAACCTTGTAATGCAGAACCTGAAGGCATCTTGAATGACAAGACCTGTTAAAACGTAGGAGGGATCTTAGTGCCCTTTTCTTGGGAATTTATAGGCAGGATGGGCCCTAGAGGTTTGAGTGGATGCTCTGAATCCTGTTTTTACCTCAGTCATAAAGATTTTTCCAGTATATAAGCCTGATTAAGGCATGGAGCCATTTTACCGAAGAAACTGTTGATTATATCTCCTAGGTATCCCAAGATTTTAGTTAAAAGCTTTTCATTAGTGACAGCCTTTAGACAGAGGAATAATCTAATCTGTATTTATTCTAGCTAGATTTTTTTTTGCAAGATTCCACCAAATTCCGGTGCCCTCTTTTTTTATATAGTAGTGTCTACATGTGGATATAAATGAATATACATCTTTTTTAAAAAGAAAACCCTCCACCATTTGAGAACTCTAGTGCAATGTAGAATAACTGTTCTGCCTTTGGAGGATTTCCTTCATAGAAGAGAATAGATATGCACTTGGTCTCCATTTCCTTCTCCTCACTTCCGTTTGTTACATAATGAACTAGTCCTGCATGAAAACCAGGCCCGTTTGCCTTTGATACTAATGATGGCTGGATTTCTGTTGTGGGAGGAGCAGGGGTCTAGCAGCATGAAACATAACACCCTCTGCCATAAAGAGTAGCGCATGGTGTTTCAGTGTTACAATTACATTGGGAGCCTACTGAAGGGTACCTTGATGCTAACTTGCTCATTAAACAGCTTTGCATATGCAGTAACCATTCCACCTTAATGATCAGGCGCATCACCATTTCAGACTCTTGAAACAGGAGATTTTTTTTTAAAAAAAGTTTCTTTTCAATGTTTGCCTCACTACTTGGACAGAATTGATTCAGCTTTTCAGTGTGTTGGGTTCCAAGGAAGACTGAAACCTTGTGCCTTCATAGACCTCCATTTTTGCATTTGTGCTGTAATGGCTTATAGAGACGCCACATCGCTGCTAATCTTAATAAAGGAAATGCCTTTGCCTCATGTATATGTTGCGTATCTTTTGGAGTACCATCGCCCACAAAGGTTGGTGTTCCCTCTGCAAGGGGTGTGGATGGTGTTAACCTATAAGAAGAGCTGAACGGATGGTGTGATATGAACTGAGCTGAAGAAGTTGCATGAGTCTTGCATTACATGGATTTTCTCCATCATGTTTGAATATAAGAATATATAATTAACAAGAAAAAATTGTAAAAGCGTGCTCTGAAATCAGTTTTGGATGGAACAGCGTAGGAACTGCTCTGCTGGACAAAAGGTCCATCCAGGCCAGCATTCTGTTTCCAGCAGCATCAAACCAAATGCCTGTGGGAAGCCTGAAGTCAACCGTCTTCTCCTGTTTGTCCTCAGCATCTGGTATTCATCTCTTTGTCCTCCGCATCTAGCTCCATCTAGTCAAGGGCAATAGTTGTTGATTAGGCCCATTGAATTTCCCCCATCTTTTTTATTTTTTAAAAAGTATCAGTTAGTACTCTTTGCAAAAGCTGTTGCTAACAAAATCCATAAAGTGTTTTACGTTTTGTGTGAAACTGTGTTTGTCCTGAGTCTTGTGCTAATCAAGTTCATTGATTTAGCTCGAGTTCCAGCATAGAGGAAGAAAAAATGCCTCCCTATTTTCAACATCATTCATAATTTTAAGTCTTTGCTGTGTCCTTCCCTGATCTTGCTTCTAATTCAAAAAGTGTTGAATACTTCCGCCTTTTCCCATTAAGGAAAAAGTGCTTCAACCCCTCAGTTACTTTAGTCGCCCTTTGCTTTTTCAAGCTCTACATTATCCTTTCTTAAGGTGACCAGAACTACACATAAGTGTTTCAAATGAAGTTGCACAATAGATTTTATATAAATATATTAAGATACTGGCTGTCTTTATCAGTTTGCTCTTACACTGCATCTCAATAGCCATTTTGTTGCTCATTCGTCCTATTTGGAGCTTTCCATGGGGAGAATGCAGATTTACCAAGCTGTAGCTTTGCCACAGTGTGTGTGTAACCACTTGTTAGGCCAGCCATCTGTGTGCTGGGTCACACAGTGAGGAGAAACTTCCAACTCTTGCTTCTGTGAATTTCTAATCAGGTTTGGAAGGCATTGTATGATTTTACAGATAACTGGTCACCAAGTATTATTGATTGATTGATTGATTGATTGATTGATTGATTTATATACCACCCTTCATCCAAGCACCACGGGGCAGTTAACAATATAAAAACACAAAAGTAGTAGTTAGGGGCACACTGCTATAATTTTTACTTTGCAAATTATTTTGGTATACATCCGTGGTCTGCTTGGGATTCTTCTGTCCTGAACAATTTGCAAACTTCTGCAGACTTCACTCCTTATTCCATGACTTTAGAATCAGTTACGTAGCAGTGGGTGCGATACAAATCCTTAGGGGATGGCATTTATTGCTTTCTGTTAATATAGTTTAATGCTTCTCTTCCCCCACAGGGGACTACTTATTTTCAGAACATTACAGTAGCATATTATGAAGCAGTCTGCACATACGACACTGATTCTGGCACATATGCTTGTGTTTCTGAGTCTGGCTCAAAAGTGCTGTTTTTAACATAAAAGGGCCTATACAGCTCAGGACCCTGATACCAAATGGAATACCTCCCTTCACTTGAAGATGATGTGAGAGAGGATCAGAGGGTGGCAGCAGGGGAGAGGGGATATTTAGTTGTGGCCTCTAATTTATGGGATGCTATTCCCAGGGATGTCTGCTTGCTCGGCACTAACCACCTCCCAGGCTTTTGAGAGAGTAATAATCACGCTTACTGCTTTTTTTGGGGGGGGGGAACAATATTTTATGGTTAAAACCTAATGGTTATTTTAATTTGTATATGTAAGTGACCTAGAGATGCTTTGTATAAGGTGACTAATAAATTGAATAAATATTATCCCTCGTTCCTCTTAAATCATGAATGATGCAATTCATGCATAGTTGTTGACAAAAGGGCCTCACTAGCAGCTCTTAAGAAAATTCAGTGGTCATGGAAGAAATAATAAAGTTTACAAATGCTAATTTAATGTTTTGAAAATGACTAGGCCCAGAGAAGATTACATTGCATGAGTGATTCTTGCCAAACACAGTAAGACTGCTCACCTTCAAATCTCGTCATCAAGATAGAGCTTTAGCTTATTGAATCACCTTAATTTATTAATATTTATTTATCTCTTCAGTAATCTTTTCATGTCCTATGGGTATACTATGACTGAAAAATTTATTATTATTTGCTCAGTTTTTTGTGTGTTTTTTTGCTAATTAGGATATTTGTGGCCTTATTAAAAGCAGTAAGTCTTGGCTTGACTTCTAGCCAAGTGTGTGGGGGTGTATAATATCTTATTTTTTTGTACTTCCCTTACACAAGGGTATATCAAAGGGAAACAAACCAGTAAATTTATTTTGCAAATCTAGTTACCTAAAATTTGGGGTCATTCCATACCAGATGATTGGGTTCAAAGGTTCCAAAATTGTTAAACTAATCTTATCTGCCAGTTGACTCCCTTTATAAATCCAGTTTGAGGATACTGAGTGTTCTAAATGCTGAATATACATTATCAGCTAATCCTTAGAAAACCCTGTAGATTAGGTCAGTTCTGTATCTGATTTGTTATGACATGGTGGAGGAGGGAAATTGGAACCAAGAATTTCCTGATTCATTTCTTGTCCACTGTGCTACACCATCTCTGAATACCTATGTTAGGGTTAGTAATGCAGGTTAGAGCCCCCATAGTTTTGCATTTCAGATAAGACTTTCAGACCCACTTAAGGCAAGCCATGTTTGTGTTAAATTCTGCATAGTATGTTTTGCAATAGAGGCTGTAGCTTTTAAGATGGAACAGCTAAGAAGTGTATCTTGTATTCAGTAAAATGTATTGAACCATGCTGGGCTTTTAAAAAGAAAATGCCCAGACCAAAATAGTGAACTTTGTTCCTGGTAGCTCTGCTACCAGGTTGGAGGTTGTCCAAGCACAGTATATAAGAAAGATTTCCAGTTAAGCTATTAATAGAATCCAGAGGCTTACCTCTGCACAAATTTGTGGTGTTCATATGGTCTGCATTGTTCTACTTTTATAAGAAGGAGAAAGCAACTTTTACAGATAATAATCTTATTGGAGGTGTGGCTCTTAGTTGCAATATTTTCCTCCTATAAAAGCTTTCCCCTCTGTGTTGTTTCTTGGATATAGAGATGTGCATCTTTTAAAAAATATATTTAAATATGGCTTTATATGTAGGATTGCAAGTAAATTTTGTGGCAAACGAATTTAGGACATCTTTTCTTTATTTTAAGAGCTTAAGTCAAATATACCATTATTACCAGCCATGGCTCCTCGTTTATGGTTCTTTTCTCCCTCAACCCTCCCCCAGTTCCCAGCATGTACCATTTTCAGCACATGTTGCAGTCTGATTTTTCCCCCTCCCAAGCTGGTGCAGAGAATTTATCTAATGCTAAATAGAATGTTAATTTTTTTGTTGATATGCTGCCACAGGTATTGCCCGCAAACGTCCCAGAACACCACTTTCAGATCTGCAGGGAGTTAACACTATCAATGAGAAAAGTCAGCGGTAAGTCAGATTGTGTGATAAGTGGGACTGCTAGAGCAAGAGCTTTACATATGAAATTGTGACTTTGGAAAATTTACCTTTTTACAAAAAAAAAACCCTGGTATATTCTTTGTGAAATCTAAGGAATAAAGTGTATTTGTTTCCCACATTGCAGTGATATGTATGGAGTTGGTTGGAACAGCAAGATGGGCGTGCGACAGAGCAGACTCTCCAGCCAAAGCAGTTTCCTCGACAAAGATGGGATATTTGTGAATTCAACTAACAGCAAACTCTTGGAGAGAGCCCATGGCATCCTCATGTTAGTTCATATTTTTTCTTTGTTGCAAAGATAAATTGATCTCTAGGGATAGCAACAAACATGGGACAAGTTGGGGTAAGAGAGGTCTCTATTACCCATCAGCATTCATCACCCAAGGCACACAGATTTACAATTCAGAAATCCTCAAAAGTGTATCTTAAATCTGGATGATGAGGTAGACTGTAGAACTGGGACACTATAAAATACATGGAAGCAACCTTTGAACTGTTCTAGGCACCCGTTGCTCTCTTCTGGTCTTGGGAGCTGACCAGAGACTCTGATCAGCAGAGCCAGAGTTTTTATTATGAACATTTATTAAATTAAAAGGGGTTCCTGTGTTACACAAATCTCCTTTTAGGTATTTGTGAAAGTATTGTAATCAGATCAATTATATTCTCTTTTATAATTTCCAAATACCCCTTCAGAGATGCAGCTGGAAGAATACAGTATCTTAATTAATTGTCAAAGAATGTCTGCAGTTCTAAAGAAGCTTGTCACTAGAAGTTGAGTGGGTTTGAAAAAAGATGTGTGAAACTTGTATTTTCAGTTCAGTATCTCTTCAAATAGATCAGGCATAGGCAAACTCTGGCCCTCCAGAAGTTTGGGACTACAATTCCCATCATCTTTAGCTAACAGGACCGGTGGTCAGGGATGATGGTAATTGTAGTCCCAAACATCTGGAGGGCCGGAGTTTGCTATGCCTGAAACAGATGCACACACTTCCACAAGCAAGAGTGCAAGGGACCACATGAAACCAGCACTCACGATAGATTTGTTGACACTGCACTAGTACATGCTTTGCCATTACACCAGAAGCAAATGTTTTTCTCATGAAAGTTTACAAATTAGCATTAACATGTCCCTGCTGCTTTAATATGGATCTTTGTTGCTTCTTCCTAGGCGAAACAAGAACTTCAAAGCGAAGCCTAACCTTCCAAAGGTGAGAGTACTAGAGCTAGAGAACCTGAGCTAACATATTTAAACTAGATTAATTTCACAATGATGCTGCTTTTTACAAGGCTATTCCTTTTTCATAAGAAAGCATACAGAAAGTGAACTCACAGTGTAGTTTTCACCATGTGTACAATTGATGTACAGTGGTACCTCTAGTTATGAACTTAATTCGTTCCGGAGGTCCATTCTTAACCTGAAACTGTTCTTAACTAGAGGCGTGCTTTCACTAATGGGGCCTCTTGCTGCCGCTGCGCCGCCGGCACACAATTTCCATTCTCATCCTGGGGCAAAGTTCTCAACTCGAGGTAACTCTTCCAGGTTAGCGGAGTTTGTAACCTGAAGTGTTTGTAACTCGAGGTACCACTGTATTAATGTGATGGGCACGTTTGCAAACCAGATAAACTGCTGTGAGCCCCACAACCACAGAGACTTTTAGGTTTTGAAAAAGGGGTTTTACTTTTTTCAAGTGGAGTGGGAGGGTGGAGGCAGTGGATTATTTTCCTGATGATTTCAACTGGGAATGCATGGGCCCTTCTCCAACTATAATCCCCAGGAAGATCACTTCCGCCCCCCAGCAACAATTAGACTTTGAAGAGGAACAATTGCAGAGGCTTACAGCTGGAGGGTAGAGATTTATTCTTTCCTCGATAGTTGAGACTTCCAAAAGTAAACTTTGCACTTCCAAACTGCAATTGGGCTTGAAAAAAGCCTTCTATTGGCTACAGTGGAAGCCTAATTTCAGCAGGGAGAGGGGGAGGCAGAGACATGTGGGTACCATGTGGGTACCATGCTCCACTGTTGGTTTCTTGCAAAGATTTGTGCTTATGTTGGTTCAAATTTCTCATAACCAAAGTTAGAATCTTTGTGTTTCTTAGCACTTGCTTGAAGTGAAATCGCTCAAGCACTTGACGAACCTAACTCTCCATGACCGTATCACAAAGTCTCTTCTCCACCTTCACAAGAAGAAGAAGCCTCCAAGCATCAGTGCCCAGTTCCAGGTAACTTACCGTTGTTAATTTCATGAAGTTTAACTTAAGGAAAACCATGTGGAATATCTATTTCCAATGGAAATAAAATAGGGATACTAGATGGACTGGAATGCAGCCTACTCTTGATTTTAGAAAAACAACAACAACAATTGGTTGCAGTTCCCATTTTCTTTATTATCCCTGGTTGTCCCATTCATTTTTACATCACAGTCTTTTTTTCTTTCTTTTGGCCAACTAGTAAATTCTCTAGTTCCCTCTGGGCATTTCCAGCCTTATGTAAGTCAACTCAGTAACTGACTCGCATTAAAGAAAAGATTGTTGCAAGCCAAGCCATTTATGTATGGCTTAGATCTTCTTTAAAATCCCTTAGACATCAATCAGCCCTTTGGGGTCATAGCTACCATAACACAGTAGTAGAATATATGTGTTGTGTGCATCATGTATCGGCTTCACTCCTATTACCTCCATATTTTTTTTAAAAAAGTCAGAGATAGCTCAACTGGGAAATAGAACTCTGATTCAGATCCTGAAAAGTTTCTGCCAGTCAGTGTAGACAATACCAGGCTAGACTGATTAATTGTCAGATGTGATATACAGTAAGTCAAACTGATATGATTATATGACTTTATACTTTGCATAGGCTGTGACTGCTAACTCCACAGATGCCCATATGAGTCCTTAATAAAGTTCAGGACATAAATTGTATGTCAGTTTGAAATTTTTGAACAGTATAGAAATTACCCATATACTTTCTGCCAAAGCTGTTTTAATTTCAGCAGTACTATGCTCTCTAAATAGCTTTAAGTAGTTTTCTAACCTTCTGTAATTAAAAGCCTTTATTATTTATTTATTTATTTCAGTGCTTAATCACAATAGTCTATAAGCAGTGTATACTAGACACAATACGCTAAGTCCAAAAATTATCTAACTGACACTAGTCCAGGGCCTTCTCAGCATTTCCAAGTCAGACATTACAGAAAAATAGAGTTGGCTATCATCAACATACCAATGACACTTTGCTCCCAAATGGCTTCATGTAGATGTTAAATAGCATTGGAGACATTATAGTGCCCTTTGGCACCCTTTAATTCAAAAGCCAAGTGGTTCAGGTATGCTCATCCAGAGCTGTCTTCTGAAACTGTCCCTGGTGATAGTCTGTCCCCATCAACAGTCTAACCGCAGAATTTCCACAAGCTTGAGCCTCCGGTCCAGGCCTATAGGTAAGCTGAACACCTTGTCTCTTAAGTAGATAAATGAAGCTGAATTTTGAATAAAATATGCAGCATTCCAGAAGGAGAACTGCTGAGGGACATGTATGCTATTGTTCTGACCAGTAACATGCTTTTGAAGATTTACATATATGTACTTAATGCCATTATTATGCATTGTATAGGAAAGCCATTTTCTTGTCTTTGAATGTCTACAATAAGAAGCAATATTATCACAATTTCTATTTCATATGTGTGTTAAATTACAGTTTAAAAAAATAGCATAAGGAGAGGTTTGGCAACATGTTATTTTCTTACCAAAATAATTGTTGCAGAAGCCAACTCCATAATTTTATTTTCCACTTTAGGCATCGCTTACCAAATTGATGGAGACCCTTGGCCAAGCAGAACCCTATTTTGTCAAGTGCATTCGCTCCAATGCTGACAAGGTAAATGCCTCTCCAATCCCAAGTAATCCACAATGAAAATCAGTTTTGCTGGACTGTTTTAACCAATCCAAATAACTTGATTATACTAGCCATTGGCCACGACAAATCTGAATAAAAATAAATAAATGTAAAGGGGTGTCGTGCCCTTTTGATCTTTCAGATCATCAAAGCAATAATCCTCAATATCATCCTTCTATACATCAGGAGCAAGGATTCAGCTAGCAGTGGGGTAGGTGAGCTGTGCCCATAGTACCTGGGTAGACCAGTCTGAAAACCCAGGACACAGATTTTCATAGCCTTCTAGTGGCTATGGTGACTCATTTTCCAGAAGTTATGTATATAGTGTTAACTCTGGAAGTGTATACTCAATTCTGACCAAACCAAGCCTTGCAAAGTCCATATCTGAAGGAGTGTCTCCACCCCCATCATTCTACCCGGACACTGAGGTCCAGCACCGAGGGCCTTCTGGCGGTTCCCTCACTGCGAGAAGCCAAGTTACAGGGAACCAGGCAGAGGGCCTTCTCGGTAGTGGCGCCTTCCCTGTGGAACACCCTCCCATCAGATGTCAAAGAGAACAACAACTACCAGGCTTTTAGAAGACTTCTGAAGGCAGCCCTGTTTCGGGAAGCTTTTAATGTTTGATGTATTATAGTATTTTAATATTCTTTTGGAAGCTGCCCAGAGTGGCTGGGGAAGCCCAGCCAGATGGGCGGGGTATAAATAATAAATTATTATTATTATTATTATTATTATACACTAAATACATTACTTCTGGTAAATGAGCCACCATAGCAGCTAGAGGGCTGTGAATTTGTCATCTCGGGGTCTCATGCCAAAGAAGACAGTGCTTTTTTTCTAGAGAAATAGGTGCCAGTACTCACCATGAAGTTGTTAGAGTAAGTGCCACACTTTTTAACAACAAAAGAGGTGCCGGTACTACATACCATTGAGTACCCCCTTTTAAAAAATAAGCACTGAATATACCACTTCATACCGTTAGCCTTAGCAGGCTGAAATCTAGGATTCCTATGCCTCCCCAGGGATCAGGGACTAGATAAACAGACGTCTGATATTTCCTATCTAACTGCATTCTCTGGGGCTTGGGGGATACCCTGAAGAAGGCCTTTGACCAAGGACCAAGTTGCCCCAGTATCTGTGTAAGAGCCTTATTTAGGTGCCCGGACTGTTCTCTGTCTCCACTGGGCTTCTCCCCTTTTCCCTACTCTCTTAGGCTTTTTATATCCTCCCTGTCCCCATACCCTTTGTTCTGCCTGAGGTATGGCAGCTGGGCTCCTTCCCTTCCATCAGGACCAGGACTGAGAGTGCTCCACCCTTCCTTTTCCCAAGTGGAGCCTCCTTAGAGGCCATTGCCTGGTTGATGCTGGTGGTGTAGACTGGGGTCTATTTAAAGGGCAGCCGTCAGCAAAGGACCGGTGAGCCCTGGTAGCCAACAAAGTCATCCATGGAAACTTGCTTACCTGGATGAACTTGCAGTCAATGTGTAACTGTTTGGCCCTTGTATGTTTTGTTTTTTCAGCTTCCCCTGAGGTTCAGCGACAACCAGGTGCTTAGACAGCTGCGGTACACAGGGATGCGAGAGACAGTGCGCATACGACAGTCAGGATATAGTTCCAAATACACCTTCAAGGTTAGATTATTTGAATCTCCCCAAAAGTATTGGTGAAGTGGACTCCAAGGCACTATGGTCAGTTGGGCAATTCCTTGATTTAAATGTAGGTGAATGCATAAGTGTATGGAAAGTATTATTTCTGCAGCTGAAAATGATGTAACTGGCAGAACAAATAGCCATGTCAAATTAGTGCTTGCAAGCATGCAGAGATGTGGCTGGGAATGTTCATTGTGAGCTGCAGCTGCTATTTGGCAAGGACTGAGAAGTAAATAGAAAATCAGTGGAGGAAAGGAGGGACCATGGGATGCTGTAGAAACACTGTGCAGGAAATAGTGATATTTGTGTAAAACATATTTGTGAATTATTATACTTTTACAAAACACATTTCCAAATCAACATGTTAGTTAAAGGAAAGGTCGACCATATTCCTGCTACGCTAGTGTTGTGCATTGAGCTAGCTGGAGTGAGTTATTCAGAGTGATAGCCTCTATTGTGCTCCTTTGAAAGCGTATGATTTGAACTTAGTGCAAAAGGTAGTCTTCTGATTTTAATAAATCTTTAGCTTTATTTTCTATGTAGTTTTTCTGAAGCTATAAACTGGCTGTGATTAGACAGATGTGTCAACTATAATATGTTTTGCTCATTGTTTTTGTAAACATTTTTTGTTATATACCTTGTCAGACACCCAAAGCTGAAGTTCTTGTTTACTCCAAGTTACATTTCTTGAAATGATATGTTTTATAAAACCCTCCATAGTCTTACTTAACTTTCTTCCTAGTTGAAGAGAATTAGTTTATTGGCTAATCTTCTAATCCCAACCATGTACAAATGTTACTTCATTAAGGGCAAATTCTCCTAATGGTTCTGCTACATAGAGGAATGTTTTGAATGAAATTTTGGTTTCAAAAAATCAATGAATTGGTGTTTTTGTGGTTTTTTTGCTGCAGAGATCAGTGATCATGAACTAGTGATGAAACTTCCTTGGAAAGACTATGTAGATTTTTGCATCCCGGTGTCACATTTTTCATACACCCACCAGAGTGATGTGCATGGGGAGAGCTTAATATTGCTCCCTGCCCCCCCCCAAAAAAAGATTTCATGCCTTTCTGATTAGCTCAGTTGTGTAAACTAGAGAGCTTTGAATATAATAGGCAATTAAAACTGTTACTTTTCAGTATCCACAGTGACAGCCCTTTTCAGGATTGCTATGTTTATATACTGATTATGCGTTTAGAACATTTGTACTCCACTTGTCAGCTGAAAAACCTCCCAGAGCTGCTTGCATACAATCAGTTAAAACAAAGCAGTCCCTTCAGGCTTATGATCTAAAAAAGCATGACACACCAGAGAAAGGGGACACAGAAGGAAGAGGAAAAAAGCAAACTCAGGTACCAGTTCCTAAATAGTAGTTCTTGTAATGCTCAGCCAACATAGAAACAGCTCAGGGCAGAAGCTAGTCTTTCAGCAGAGCTGGTGGAATGATCCCTGTTTCTCATCTCATCTACTGAGGCAGCCTGTATTTCCATAGATACAGAGCTGACTTCAATGAACTTTCAGAGTAAAATGACAAACTGTGTTAAATAACATGCAGAGGTATGCCTAATTTTTCAGGAGTTCGTGGATCATTTTCATGTACTTCTGCCGAGGAGCATGGTACCATCCAAGGAGAATATCCAAGAATTCTTAAGGAAAACAAAGACCAACCCTGACAATTATCAAGTGGGACGAACAATGGTACGTTCAAAGCCTCATTTCCCTTTTGCTCCCTGACACAATATTAAAATACATTTGTCCCTTTCTAGTAACATTTATGGGTGTACCCTGCTGCCATAGTGGTGTTTTTCAGATATACGGTGACCCATTTAGCATGTATTGATAACACAGACCACGGCTTATCAGTAACAAGCAAATCTATGGGCTCCCAGAGAGGAGATTTGGGCTGTTTGCTCCTTGCCAGTCATTTTGCTGCTTCTCTGACCTAAGCTTTAGTTTGGCTCCACATGTTGTCCAGACCTGAGCTCATAGCTTAGCTTTCTGCAGACAAACCACACACTGTAACAAAGGTTTGTCTTATGGTTTATAGCTTGTGGTTTGTCGGGAAGAGCTAAACCATGAACCCAGACTGGGACAACATACTAAGTCAAACTGTGACATAGCTTAGCTCGGTGCAGTCCATCAGCAAAATGAGCAGGGGGGAGCACAGCAGCCACAATTTTAGTGTTGCATGTAAATAAGATAATGTCTGGTAGAACTCAAAATTACAACTCCCCAAGACTTTTTTTGCCACACCAAAGTTACCCCAGACGCTAGAATGAGGCAACTCACCTTTCAGTTCATTTTCAAGTACCTGAACATCAGTTGGAATTTCTTCCTGAAGGTGGGGAGAGGAAGATTCTGAAGTAAATGTGACCCTTATTTTATTTAAAAGGCATTTTGTGGATTTGCTTCACTGTGTGTCTTAAAAAATAAAATAACATAAATAAAAAATAAAATAAATTCTTTAAGTTTGTGGTGATTCCCTCATCCCCTTCATTATTTTTTTTTTAAAGTATTCAGGCTGCAGACTTGAGGTAAAACCCAACAAAGAAGTTTATAAGATTCCATATGTTCAGCCAGTTGTGTCCCTGGATGAATATTCAGGCTCTTTTTCCCTTGCGAGTGCCGAGATTGGTGGGCAGAACAGGTTCATCCTTTGTTTTGTTACTTACACCATTGCAATTATTTTGCAGAAATCTTTATAGCTGCATGGTGGGGAACTGACACTAATTTGTTCATTAATAAATATGTATTTATTATTGCTCTCCACATTGTTAGGTTTTCATGAAAGAGCAGGGACGTCAGCTTCTACAGGGCCTGCTGCATGAGGAGGTGTTGCGAAGGATCACTCTGTTGCAGAGCTGGTTCCGCACTATGCTCTACAGGAGGCAGTTCCTGAATTTGAAGCAGGCAGCTGTGGTCATACAGGTGGGTGTCAACAGTGTGATTTCCAGTAATTTCAGACATTTAGCATGCCTGACGTTTATCTCAAGACAAAAGCTGTTTCTTTTATGTTACATATAGGCCTGGTTTGTACATAACACTAATCCAAACCATGCCTTCCTTTGCACTTGCAAATGTGTACATTCCCAGAGAGGAGATTGTGAATGCTTTGATTCTCCTTAGTTAATTTGTTGCAGCACTGTGCTGATTTTGAACACAGACTTGGGGTTAAACTCGTTGCAGACAAACTGCAAACAGTAACCAAGGCTTAGCCTATGGTTTGCAGCTCATGATTTCTTTAAACCACGAACCTGGGTTTGGACAACACACAGCCAGACTTAGCACAGCACAGGGCAGCAGTAAGATAATCAAAGGAGGAACAAAGTGATCACAATCTGCACTCCAGATTTCGCTCATTTGCACAAAGCCATGGTTTGGATGACACACTAAACCAGAGCTTTCCAAACCATCCATGTCGCTGACAAACTTTTTAGATATGCATCATTTTGTGACATAGTAATTCAGTTTTGCTAGCAAACCGGAGGTTAAACTAACCCCTTATAAGAGCATTTGTGTGACATACCCACACACCTCAGCTGACACACTAACGTGTCACAACACATGGTTTGGAAAGCTCTGTACTAAATCAAACCATGGCTTGGCTCAGTGCAGCGCAGCAGCAGAACCACTGAGGGGAAGCAGAGACCACAATCTCTTATCTAGGAACATGCTTGATGACACTAAACCATGGTTTGGCTTAGTGTTGTGTGGAAATGAGGGCATAGTTATGTGCAGAACAGTGGCATTGTAATAACAAGGAATGTGGAAGTTTAATACATAGTAAGGCATATGTCAGTATATTTATGCACAGTTAATAAAATTATTTTCATATCATGTGTATATCTTTACTAACACTAAAAGTCCCTTCTCAATTTCATTCATACCACAAAGTATTTGTCCAGGTTGTTATTGAAAAACATGATTGCTCTCTCTTTTGCTTTGTCTTCTGTCATCTTAAATGTCAGTAAGACACCAGCTTTAAAAATGCTTGCACCTCATCATTTTTAAACTTTTTTTTTTTTACCTGAGTACAGATTGGTCATCCACAAGAATAAGATAATGGCTGTTCAGCCTTTCTTCTTCATTCAGTACCACTTGGTCTTATTAACAGGCAACATTGTGGCTATGCTACTGGATCTTTGTTAGATATTGTTTTCAAGGATCTTTCTTTTAAGGAAATCTGACATAGTATGGAGTACTGGAAAATATTTTCTCTCACTCTTCCCATAGCAATACTGGCGTAGTTACCAAAGAAGAAAGCAAGCTGAGGAAGAAGAGTCCCTAAACCATTCCATCTGTTTAGGCAAGGCAGCAGTTGTTCTTCAGGCCTACTGGCGAGGCTTTGTGGCAAGGAGAAGATTTCAGCAGATGCGGGTGGCTGGCTTCATTATCCAGAGCTACTGGCGGGAATGCTTGAGGCACCGGAATGCTGCGGCTACCATCGTCCAGGCAAAATGGCGAAGCTACCACACCAGAAGTGTCTACAGGGCCAAGAGAAACAAAGTGATTTTGTTGCAAGCAGCGTATAGAGGATACAAAGCACGGCAGAGGTAATACTTGTAACCTTCATGGGAGGACAAAAGTGCGTGTAAATCAGGATTTCCCAAAGTTGCCAATATTGACCCCCTGAAGTGCGGCAGGTGAATAAAGACCAAGGGATTGAAAGGGAGTAGAAAAGGGCCAAGGGGTGTAAAGACGTTTCAGTGGGATGCTGCGGAAAATTTAATTAGGAACAATGAGCTCAGAAATAAAGGGCATTAAAGGGTTAATTAAGATGCAAACTCAGAAGCTTACAGCATTGTTTTCATACTTGTTAAAGCCCATCACACCTATCTCATCTCTTCTCAGGTATGGTATTGTTATTAATTTCACTTTTCTTTTCTTTCTTTCTTTCTTTCTTTCTTTCTTTCTTTCTTTCTTTTACATTTTATTGTTCCTAGTAATGGTGATTGACTTAATAATCTTGCCATATTGCTAGAGGAACAAGCTTGGAAGAAAAAGGAAAGTCTCATAGAATTGTAGATTTGGAAAGTACTCCAAGGGTCATGTAATCCAAAGCCTTGCAATGCTTTAAAGAGAAGGGTGAGAAATTTGCAACAAATAATTCTAAAATGTCTTTTCTTTCTTTTTAAAAAAGGTTGAGGATTTTAAAGGAGCAAAGCTTAAGAGAGGCTCCATTGAGGAATGGACTGGCAGTTAAAGAAGAGGATGGACTTGCACCAGGGGACAACCTGGATGTTACAGGTTCAGATCCTTCTGAATGGGAGGATCGTTCATTTGAAGAGCGAGTGAAAGCTGTGGAAGAACATAAGTCAGTGATTGAAAACAGAGTGGGTCAAATTGATCCCTTGGATAATTCTGAGGCTTTATTGTACAAGCACTATGAGAGAGCCAACAGCCAGGGTGGAGAGAGCATAGATGAGCAAGTTCTTGTGAGAGAGAGACCCAAGTCATTGGAAGACCTCAACCAGAAGAAAGGAGTTCGTGCAAAGCGAGAGAGCCGGCGGATGCGTGAACTGGAACAGGAAATATTTAGCTTGGAATTGCTTAAGGTCCGGTCCACTGGTGGGGCGTCTCCCTCAGAAGAGCATCAGTGGTCACCAGAGATGATTTCTGATGACATGCAATCTCCTAGGGGAACTCCAGAGAGTGAAAGCTCTCAGGGAAGTCTAGAGATGCTGAGCCATGAAGACACTCAGAAGGGCAAGCAGGACCCAACCTTGCCGCACGAGCCTGTTCCCAGAAACTCGTTACCAAACAGCCCTAAATCTGACAATGTTAAATGCATCCCCATCCTTGATGCAGATGTAAATAGAAATGTGTTGGGTGGGAAAAGTTTGGCCTCAAGCTCTGAATTACCAGAGTGCCTTGCTGCTAAAGATGGGTCAGTTTGTGATTCTCAAGGCGTTGTCTACAACTTGCACACAAGAGAGCCACTCATTTCAAGTAGCCTACCTACATTTTACCTGCCGCCACAGGACAGTCTCAGAGCTGGCCAGTCAGTTATAGAGAATAATTTAAGGAACAAGCGAATGGAAATAGGAGGGAAGTTTTTGTTCCCAGAAGCCAAGCATACCACTGAACTGGACGGGGCGGGGCAGAGCAGAACCTTTCATGGAGAATGTCCACCTTCCTTCAGAGGACAAGAGGGCCCTGCTTCAGAAATGCTATCTTCAGATCCAGTTATCAAGAAGCTGGAGAAATTAAATGTGGAGAAGGAAGAGCGCCAGAAACAAAAGCAACTGCAGAACGAGAAAGAAATGATGGAGCAGATTCGACAGCAGAAGGAAATTTTGGGGAAGCAGCGTAAAGTTTTTGAGCAGCAGAACAAGGTCAGGGAGTCCTCTCAAGGAGCCTCTATCAGGTCACCAAAGAAAACGGACAAGCCTCAATCTCTCCTCATTGGGAGTCCCCAGAGCAAAGAGGAGCCTTGTCTTACAACAAGTGCAGGGCCCACTTCAACGGTAGATATTAAAGGTCTTACTGTCACAGCAAAAAGAAGCCCGCCTGCTTGCCAGAAGACCCAGAAAGAAAAGACTATCATCATGATCCTGGAACGAAAGGAAGACAAGACGCCAGGTGTTCAGCAGTCTGCTGGAAGAGACCAGTTAAGCTTGCAAATGGCTGCTGAATCTCAAGAAGGCTCGAGCAATCTGCCTGCAAGAGAAAAACGGTTCAGGTTGCCCCGAATTCCTCGCCAGGGTACTGAAAGCTCTTCTAATGAAACTAGAGGTGGTTCTATTTTCTTTACCCCAAAGGATAGTCATGTGGGTCTTAAGTGAGTATGATGTTGCAGTATTTCTATTTCATTTTCACTTTCACAAGGCCTGAGCTCTCCTAGAAATATTAACGGCTTGGAGGAAAACCAAAGGATTCTTCCCCCAGAAAAATCATGCACAGGAAAAATTCAAACATCAAAATGGCATTTGTTTCTTTTGTTTTCTATGTGGTGTTCCTTTTTAGTATACATATATGTTCTGGCTTTTCCATTTGTATGCATATTGACATTTACACAGGAACATGTGTGGCTTACCTCCAAACCCAGAACAGCATTAATGGGGAGAGGGGTCTATATATACACCTATTGATAGCGATGAAGTTGGGAGTGTGTATGTGAAAGAATTTCACTGTTTTACTCTGTGCTTAAGAAATCAATGTTCTACCCCCAAAGTTAAAATTCTTCAACCTATATAAAGTATGCATCTTAAGTAGATTTACAGTATTTTATATTTTCCACAATCTAGGTTTCTGCTATTCATAGGAAGGTGTAAGAACCTATTCAGAGTGCTGAAGCACCTGTCCTCTTATTTGGTCATCTTCAGTTTCAGAAACTTTACCCAGACACCGGCTATACACTTCTGAGACTGGGGTATAGTGTAGTACTGGCCGAGAGGCTTTGCTATGAATAGCAGAGGGCTCAAATCTTGCTCTGTCATGAACTAAATTGGTGGCCTTAAGCAAGCCATTCCATCTTAGCTCCCTCCTGTCTCAGAATATGGGGTAATAATCCTGATTATTTTACACGCGGAGTAATTGCAAGGATTTCAACAGGGTTGCAGACAGTGTGGCCCTCCAAATGTTGGTATGCAACTCCCATCAGCCCTGAGGATTGGCCATGCTGGCTGAGGCTGATGAGAATTGAAGTCTAGCAACAATTGGAAGGCCGAGTTTCCATCCCTGGATTATAACAATGTATGTGACTTGAAGGTGCCTTTCCCAAACTATTCATCCTGGAGTATGTATCGGACCTGTTGTGGGTCAATCTGCAATAATTATGTTTTCTAGTTTCAGCAAAGAATCTTCAGCATGTCCATTGCTTCCGAAAGAAGAACATAAAAAACCATCAAAGGTTTCTGGACAAAGTAGGGGAGAGGTACGCAACAACCTTTTATTTCTTCGGTAGAAATTTTTTATTCTGTTGGCTACCTAATAATATGAGAGTAAAGGGATGGAGCAGGATTTTATCAGTAGGGAAGCAATTGCAAGGTTTAAGAGTGCTCTACAGACAGCAATGCAAAGATAAACCATTCGCTTGGTTTTCACTGAGGTAGTAAGGGTGTTTGTGGACTGTACTACTTCAGGCGACAGGTAGGAATTCACATGAATGAATGGTCCTTCAAAATAACAAATCTGTGCACATAGAAAACTAGCATGTTCAGGAAGTAAGCAAGGCAAAGACCATTCTCCCCAATATTTAGCTTTCTAGATGGAGGGATTATTTTTTAAAGAAGAGCATTCAATCATCTAAGTGCCCACCTGCAGTCTGAAATCCAGCCCAGCCACTGGATTACCATCTCAGTGAGAACTGAGTCCAAGTCCTGCCCTGAATTGACCCTTCACATAAGCTGTGTCAAAAGCAATTGTGCTGTCTGTTTCTGTCCCCGTCCCCCCCATTATTTTTATTGGCTTCCATTACAATACATTTTATTTGTGCTGTCCATTTTTGTTGCTTACCACCAACTTGTTAACCCCCCAAAACAACTTGCATTTGGAAATTAGCTTTTTATTTTAATCCTTATGGTTGCATGTTCCCCTTTTGTTTGACTTCAAACAGCAGCAGACTCACCTGTTGTCCTTTTCGTTTGTTTGTTTAAAGCATTTTCATGTTATTTGTTTTATCGTTTGGTGTCAAGCAGGTTGCCAGACCAGCCCATAAAAAGAAAGCCCGCATGGCACGGACACGCTCTGATTTCTTGACTAGAGGTGCTTTTGCTGATTGGGAGGGGGATACGGAGGAAGAGGATTACGATGACAGTTTTGAATTCCTTCTCTCCCTTGACCAACCTCCTCACCCTGAGCCCGGCTGTGCAGCCAGACTTGGGCAGCCCTGTCACAGTGACTCTGAAATGGTAATTGATCCAACACACAGCTGTGTGGGAGCATCTCTTGGCTAACCAGTAGCTGTACTGACACCTTCCACTGCTCTTTCTCCCTTCTTGTAGTTGCCTGTAACCTCCGAGAACATAGTCACAAGCATGTTTCAATTTTCTCTTTACTTAACAGTATTTATATATCGCTTGGTTCCGATAAAACCTCTAAGCGGTTTACAAACAATAAAAATAAAACATAAAAATTATCCTTTAATGGTTAAAAAGAGATACTTAAAAACATTCAGAAGAATCAGAATGAGAAGAATCTTTATTTGCATCAGCTCCTAGCCATAGCAATAAAATAAAATGTACTGAAGATAGAGGTAACAACTTAACTATATAAAATACATTTTGGAGGTTTACATCAATAATCAAATAATAGATCTTATTCTAATTGCCCCCACTAAAAACCTTGCAGTTTTTCTTGATCTGCTGAAAGAAAGGGCACAGCGATGGTTGAGCGACCTGCCATGGACAATAATAGAGGGGTAATTCAGAAGATTCGATTCAGACAGTAGGCTAAAAAGACATGTGCTTTAATCTCAGCTTCTACATGTCCAGATAAACAAAAAGGTTTTAATCAGGTGTCAAAAAGTGCACAGATTACATCAAGTTCTTGGGATGGTCTGAAATATGGGGCAGCCATATTGAGTTAGACTATTGTCGTTTCTCTCTGTAAGTTTCCAACACTTCATCCTGACTTGGAATGACTTCATCCTGACTTGCAGGTGAAAGGGCTGGTGTACATTCTTTTATTTTCTTCTTTTGGCAAGTACATTATTGAAGAGCAATGGTTGCATCACCAGGGATTGGGGAACATGATTAACCCCCACACCAGTGGCATTCTTGACTGCCATTCATGCCTATCCTTCAAAGAAAAACCGATTGCTCTTGGAACACCCTTCTGGTTGGAGCACAATCTGCTTTACATCCCTGACACATTTATTTTATGTTACAGGTAGGTAGCCGTGTTGGTCTGCCATAGTCAAAACAAAAAAAATTCCTTCCAGTAGCACCTTAAAGATCAACTAAGTTAGTTCTTGGTATGAGCTTTCGTGTGCATGCACACTTCTTCAGATAGATGCTTTCGTGTGCATGCACACTTCTTCTGAAGAAGTGTGCATGCACACGAAAGCTCATACCAAGAACTAACTTAATTGGTCTTTAAGGTGCTACTGGAAGGAATTTTTTTTGTTTTGACATTTATTTTATCTTATTCATAATCCGCCCGCTCATAAATATCATGTTTCTGTACAAATGAAATCATTAAAACCTCATAAAATGGTAAAATCCTAAAATGCAGAGCAAGTGATCAAGACAGAATGAAATCAATTTTCTAAAAACACTGTTAAACAGAAATACTTTGAACAGGCAATGGACTGTCAAATGAAATAGACAAATATTACTGAGAAGTGGTCTGCCTTCCAGATTTAGAGTACAATAAATGACCATGCCTGTTCCTCAGGGAAACTGGAAATGAATAAGGCAAAGTGTCCTTCTAAAAGTGGCGGTAGAACTGTTTATATGGAACAGCCATTTCCTAATTCCCTGAAGTTCATATTCATTAACTAGCCTTCAAGGCACTGAGTGCTTTTAAGTACTCAAAGCCATAGCATAGGGGCTTCTCAAGAGAACTTATTTTGAAAACTTTGGGGATATAGTTGTGTTATGTTGCTACCAGAGCAGCTGGTTAGCATCTTCATTGATTCTGTTCTTGTGATTTTTACCCAGATTGTTATGAAGATCCCACTGAGAGGGTAGTGAAGTAGCTTTAAGCTTTCTCCTTTGTGCACACAGGAAATGTGCTATGTTCTTGGAGGTTTACCTTGTTACAAATCACTAGTTTGACTATCAGTAAAGCTTTTCACACTGGGAATCACTGCTGAGGTGCGAAGGGTGCTGGGCTTACTGTTTGCTTGGAGAGTTCCATCCTCGGAAGGAGTCCCATTCATGCCACTTTTCAAAATGCTCCTCTGATTCCGCTGCCATAGTTTAACAGATTTCATTTGCATGCAAGTAGTCCTAAACTCTCATCTCATTTGATATTCTTTTTCTTCCTACGCTGCCCCTGGGGCTTCACAAGCTTTTCTCACTGGTAGTTTGGCACACCTACTTTGGGGCAGCTGCTTGCACCATCAAGCTCTGCTTTTTAGCTTATGCTGAATTACATTCCTGTTGTTATATATAAAAACTGTATAAACATGTACATAGGTATGCCATATCCATGTGTATAAGCATACTGCATAGGCCTTTAAAGCTGGACGTGTGAATATTCTCGACATATATTTAGTTTCACTGGGCTTAAGTTCCTGCTTTCCTAAAGTTGGTAGTTTTTGACCATTGGGGCCAGTTTCTCTTTCTAATCTGGCTAGTTAGAGTAGGGTATTTGATCATTTTTCCTGTGGTTCATTAGTAGTAGTGGTAATAATAATAATAATAATAATAATAATAATAATAATAATAATAAAATAAAATAATAATTTATTACGGTCAAAGACCAGCTCGCATAACACAATAATGACAGCATTCATAAAGATAAAATATACAATTTGAGCAGATTGCAGCAATAGCTCGTGAGTTAAAATTTAAATATATACATACACCCGTACAACTGAGATTTGGGCTACCATAAAAATTGATCCTGAGGCGCCCCAAAGGGTGGCATCAGCTTTTCCCTAGTAAGCTATTTTATTCTAGAGGATGATCTATGCCTACAAATCTGGGCGCAGAATCTGGCTACCAGCCAGGTCGTCTTGTGACCTTGCCTAAGAGGAGAGAATTAAGTTTAGACTTGTCTGGAAGATCGGCGAGCGTCTTCAGCAAAGGGTCATTGATTTCTCTGCAAATCTCAGCATAAAAAGGACATTAAAAATATATATGTACGGGGCTTCCTATTTCCCCTAATGGGCAGGCGCCAAGTCTCTGTGCGTACGGGACACTTCCATAGGAGCCTTCCAGAACCGTTGAGGGCAAGGCCGAGCTTCTAGCAAGAGTGAAAGCCCTTCTTGCATTTCTGGATGCGAGGAAATAGAGATATATTGCTGGAGTGGCTACATATCTCCTGTTTTTTATGATTTTATAATCAGGGACCCTTGTACAGTCCTGTTGTCTCTCTATGTCCATGATTCTTTGCCTGACCACGGATGTAGCTTGGCCCAGGCCCATAGTTATGAGGGTTTGGGGAGCAAAGCCCAGTTTCTGAAGAGTGTTTAGAATTGCTGTCTGCCAGCCAGAATGAAACTGGTCGCTCAGAATCAATGGAGCTATTCCTCGGGGGAGCAGTTTCAAAGTTAGCCACTTAAATATTGATGTTAGACTAATATGAGCTTCGACTTTCATCATCCCTGTTTCTAGTCTGACCCATGCATTTGAAACGCACCTGGGAACTTGTAGAAGGGCTCTGAGAGCTTAGATTGCACTCTTTCAAGGGGAATGAACGAGGAGGGAGGCGGGCCCAGAAAGGATCCGTAAAGGAGCTGTGCCAACGTTTTGGCTTTATATAATTTTAGTGTCGCGGGGACATAAAAACCCCCTTGAGTTCTAAAAAATTTAAGGATAGCATTTGCAGATCTTTCTCCAGCACACCCATTTGAGTTAATATGAATTTTGTTGGATCCTGATACCTGGACCGCCATTCCTAAATATTTGTAGTTCAAGACTTGTTCTATATTTTGGCCTTGAAGTTTCCAGTTTCTGAGATTTGGTTTTTCCCCAAAAGCAAGAATTTTGGTCTTCTGATAATTTATTTTGAGGCATTCTGTCTCACAATAGGCAGCTCTTCTAAGCCCTATAGGGGTTCTGGATAGTATTACCGCATCGTCTGCGTAAAGCAGAGCCGTGATGTGCCGGTTTGCTAACTTCGGAGGGTGGAAGTGGTTCATTAGTATTCAGATGTTAATGGCTACCCTTTGCAGAGGCTGCGTTTTAATCTCAAGTAATAATAAAGCAACCTTCAGTACAGCAGTGGATATAGGAAAGGACACTGGCATATATTCACAAGCATGTAAGGTATTTAGCTTGAGCTTCCAGTAAAAGAAGCAGGCAAGTCAGGCAGCCTGACTATACACAGAGTTGATTGATTTCATGAAAGAAAGAAAGTAGGTTATCGCCTCTGCACCAGTTGGTTGTTAGTGAACAAAAGCCCTGAAAGTCAATGTTTTTCCAGTGCTGTACATTAGTCACAGGCTTTTGAGTGCATTAAAGCAATCTTAGGCATAGCGGGTTAGCTATTTGTGATAAAATAAGCGCCTTACACAAGACTTGAAGATATATCTTTATTTGACAGGTTGGCAACAGTCGAACAACAAGTATTATTCATATACAGTCGTACCCTGGATCCTGAATGCCCTGGAACTCTGACGTTTTGGCTCCTGAATGCCGCAAACCTGGAAGTGATTGTTCCGGTTTATGAACATTCTTTTGAAACCCGAATGTCCGACAGTGCTTCCGCGGCTTCTGATTGGCTGCAGGAGCTTCCTGCAGGCAATCTGAAGCCGCGGTTTGGTTTTTGCATGTTTCGGAATTCGACTTCCAAGGTACAACTGTATATATATTAATGAATACAATGTGTTTCTCTCCCTTGAGCCTAAGAGAGGGTTTAGTCCTTTTTGTTTTCAAAACTCCTTTATAGCAGCACATAAGTTATTAATCCTTAGCTTGCCTGTCCTCACAAACTCCTCCAGACAGTGTCTGCTTGAAGTCACCACACTCCAATGTTCTCAGGCAAAGAATCAGCTAACAGAATAACCAACCGCCAACTTCCACCACCTTTCCCCAATACCATTTATTTTTTGTGAAATACATTTACAATGCAGATAGAATACAAATACTAGCATAGCATTGATTTATAAAATCTGATTAAGTGACAGTCCTTCTGTTGCTGACTAGCTTGGCTAACAGCCCATGGCAAAGCAGATCATGATGCACCACTGCACAAAAGAACTGAAATCTGTTCCTGGACAGTGATAAATGTCGCACAG